TATATTCTCTAATGACAGGAGATGATATAGGAGAATTGGAGGAATCTCCGGTGATTTTGAGGGCCATGAAACTCATATGCAAGAATTTCCTTCCAGGCTGGAACATGTTGAGAATTCCAGAGTTTACAAATTTTGTCTTTGATCATCTTGACGAACTACTTGATCCCTGTAAGAGAAAGGCACGGTTCGTAGATTCTATTCAAGAGTGGATGAAGGGAGAGCAGGCCAAAAACAGAAAGAGCAGTCAACGGCGAGGTATGAAGAAGTCAGAGATTGACATTGACGAAGTTTAAGCCATGGAAGATCTTGTGGCAATCTTGAGTGCAGATGAAAGTTGCAGCGATTTGAAAGCTGAGGCAAAAAAATGGATAGTATTCTGTGGTAAGTACAGTTGAATTGAACAATCCAACTGGAATCCATCTTTGGAATGTAATGAACGAATAATCTTGAAATTTTTGAATTATCTCTATAGTCCAACGGGCAGGAAAGATAAACTCGGTGAGATTTTTTCACGGTGAGATTTCAAAGTCAGCTCTTGATGAATCAGAGATGTATGGTTCCGTAGAGCCCATACAGCCATTTTTTATGTCTGTACATATATCACAGGAAGTTGAAAAGTGGGGAGCGAAGGTTGAAGTCAAGAGGATGGATGCAAAAAAACGAAATCTTCTCTTGGAGTGGGAAGCGAAGTATACGGCAGACAAACTTAATACGACAGACGCCTCATATAAGATCCGTCTCAGCACACTTGAAAACAAAGGATCGGTAAAATGGGCTGTTGCTGCCAACAAGTGGTGGAATAAAGTTGAACTGTTTGCAACAACGATGTCTCTTGTTAAGGATCTTAGCAAAGGACCAGAACGTGATCGCGGCGGGAAACGTGCAAGTAAGATCGTTCCCAAGCATTTACTTTGAGCTTTAATTTTAACTGAAATATGTTGTATCAAAATGATAATATCTGCGATTGGGTTGCTGTTATTACAGATAGGAGAACTCGTTCTTCAGATGGTAACATGGATGTAGGCGTCAAGAAAAAGCCACCTGGTGAGAGGACACGACGTGCTAACATATGGCGATGAGTTGAAAGTCGTATGTGGACTTCGATACTGGTTAGTTTCACTTACAAAAGTCTTCAATGGCAATTTTCAGACCTATTTTTTTGTCCACTCTACCTAGATAGGCTCCAATGTGGCTCGAAAGAAGTGGTATGGGGTTTTTTCTGCTCATTTCCTTCCTTGTAGTTGGTGTACTTGTCCTACTTTCGAAGAGGAAGCGGATAATTATATGTATTTTGAATCGGTGTTTCAGATCGCTATGCTTTTGCTTCAGTAACCATGGTAGTGTAGTTGCTTCATTCTTGAACTCAAAATCTGTTGATGTCAGTCTGAACTGGATCCTTAACATATGGTTATCCTTAACGTATTCATAAAATCACTGATCTTGGATTCTGGGACAGTAGATCAGTATCTGATTATAATTTTGCTTTTTCTGATACAGCTTTGAGGGTGCCAACGAAGGATGCAAGTGCGATGACAAGTCCTCATGCATCCCTTGCAATTGCAAATGAGAGAGAACACCTCCAAATTATGTTGTTTATATTCCACGAAGCAGCAATGCACGAAGCAATCCACAAAGCAGCAATGCATCAGAAATTATTGTCTGATGAAAACATTTACAGCTTGTTCATCCTTTGCCATCTATTTGGCCTAGTTTTTTTATGTGTTTTTGTTAGTTACGCACTCCTTTTACCTCAGTTTTTGACTGAAATTATGTATGTCTTGTATTGCATATCTTGTCCTTTCAGCTTGTTCCATGCCCTGCGCTCCAGGATCTTGTCACTTACTTTTAGTACGTATCTCCAGTCCTTTTCCGGACATGTAGCTGAAGTTCATGGCCTGTGCTCGATACATGCATCCCTCCCGCTAAATGTTATTCGAGTTTAGTGACTTGCATCCGCTGTGTATTTCCATTTGTATACTAAATGCCAAGATAGTTCTAGTTCTGACAGAGTATGGAGAGTCTCACAAACAGTGCGAGAAAGAGGAGCCGTGCTGAGCTTAAAAAGATGAAGGTGGGACGTTCAGTCGACTGAGGATGATGAGCTGTAGCGAAAGTTTTGCAGATCATGTATGTAGTGGCTTTAGGACGCACTCATCGCTTTCTGGAAGTTTGACTGTGCTTTCAGTTGACAGTTCGCAGCTTTAGAGTTTTAGTATCGGAACAAAATTGGAACAGAGCTACATCGTACACTGCACATTCACTTTTCTGTACACTCGGATTTTTCTACAGTCTCAGACTTATTTGAATTATGAATTTGAAGCCTTGGAGGCTACTTTTGAATCTTTTTGTATTGTGAGATGTCAGCGTGGTTTTTAGTACCAGTTCGTTTCATGGAAGCTGTAAGTTAGGAGATAATCAATCTACATGGTGGCACACAGGTCAAAAGCAAAAATATAGGGTCACATGAAAGGGAGAGAAACAAACCCAACAAATCTAGCTCAATGATAAGAGATACAAAGAAAAGGAATCGGGACTACCTTCTCCATAAAAAGTCATTTCTTGTTCAAACAATATCTCCCGCCTATTTCTGTGTGTTTATATTCCTATAGAACTCTCATGACGAAAACAGGAAGACGTATACAGTACTTTTGTCAGAATTTGGAGATTTATTCTCGAACTCAATGTAGGATCACACTAAACCCTACATCACAGAATCCTGTGTATATCTGACGACATAAATAAAGTCAACAGAAGCATCTGCTGTAAGATTTATGGTCATAGGTGTGTTCTGTGAACTTACTGCATGCTTAAGTGAATTAAGTTGGACCTTGGACAGTAAGTATGGAGAGTAGTGAGAACTGATTCGACAGAGGTATGTAATAGCCAAAAGGGTGGCGAGTTCCAAAGACAATTCTTGTCTCATCCGACAGAAGTTGCCAGTTATTGAAGCCGTCATTGGTCTGGACCTTCAGTCACATTGATTCATAATTCATCTCACAAAATGTCATATAATTGCTTCTGTTATCTGACTTTCCTCATTGCAAAATGCTCATTTTTATGCAAGATGGACGATTATAATCAGTCAGGTCCTGAGCTATCTACATCCATCAAAAACTCAAACTATCTCGAAACTGCACCTGTAAATATGCTAAACGATTATATGCTCTAATATGTGACTATGTTACCAATTATGCAAGTCACATAGCCATCTGAGAGCTTATAAGTGCACTAGACATCGGTATAGGTGACAAAGACAACATTCTGATAGACACACAAAACTTTAAGTGAATCTACTTCGAGATTGGACGTGCCTATCAGAGGTCTCACACTGTAAGTTTCAGTGCACATCGAAGAGTTCCAAATCAAATTGTTCTGAACCTTTAGTGTTCAGATACAGGTAGAAAAGTGTTCAAGATAGAACTATTTACTGTGTATTCTTCACACGACTCGCTTAGTTGCACAAACTTTTACAAACGGCCGTACTATACAACATGTTATCACCGTTTGATTACAAATATTACAGTTTGAACACTAGGGATTCCATATGAGCTATCCCTCTTGCGGTTCAGTTTTAGTTTTTAGTTCCCGCAACGTTCCAGGACACGACCGCGATCATTGTTACAGCGTAGATCATTGCAACGCAATAGATACAACGTTGCAGCCTCTACAGTGACGGCCTCTCTTCTACATGGTTGTTGGAATTTCATCCGGTTGAGGGCATCTACATGGTTGCCGGAATGTATGGTCTGCCGACCCTCCCCGCAAAGTGTTCTTATAGTACATCGTTAGATCCGTCCACTGGAAAGCGGAGCGATCTAGTTCAGTCACTTTGATGAAAATTGAGTGCCAATGAAAAACCTGCCCGGTTAGCCTGCCCGCACATTCTTCCATCTTTGGTCCAAAAGAGGAAAGTCGCAACGAAAAGAAGAACTTCGTCACGGGTCACTGCAGGATGACACATGCCTGGGTCTATGAAGGCCCTATATAGGGGCTATGTATAAGTTTGTGCAGCTAAACCCGTCCGTCAATTACCCTTAGCGAGTGATAACTAGTCACACATTTTCTATATTTATAATTATATTTTAACACTTTTTTGCACTAAATATATCTACGTTCAGAAGAAATCTACGATCTCATTTCAATGACGTATGAGTCCTACGCAATCATATTTATTCGTGTTCGAAATCCTCTTTAACCTCCAGGTAGTGAGTGTGTGTGTACTCTAACTATAGAGATATATACTTCCAGTTTTTGGGAAACATTTGCTCCTGTATGTTGAAATAGCACAATGATCAACTGCTTGTATATGTTGTGGGTGTTCCATGCACAATTTTATCCTCGGCCATCTTCTGGTTTGGAGCTACATACTATTAGACCCGTGGATAGCTTTAATCATCAATATGCCCAACATTACTGCGATGAAATAACGGATGCAAACACTTCACAAAATTCATTGATTTAGGAAAGCGGGTTTACTTCTGATCATTGAGAATTAAAATAGAAGATAATTTTCATTTGTTCCAGGCCCAGGTTACCGCCCTCGCTCATGCATGCTGCCTCATGGAAAGATGTCATTTGTAGAGATCATGATATATTTTAACAAGACTAACACTTCCGATTCATTTTGGACGTCAGCATGACCCCACTACTCTGCCGGCCTTTAATAGCCGGTGCTTTGTACTAAAGTCTACGGTCTCAGTACAAAGAAAGTCTCCAACGACTCCACGAATCCTTCGGAGTCTGTTGAACACGATCATCTTAATCTTCAGGAAATCCTCGCTGAGGACATTTTAGTCTAGGCAGACAGAAACACGTACCTTCTTGATTGCGTATGCAGGCAGTGCCAGTACTTCCGACATGGCAGAGCGGTGGGTAATCTTCAGAAGCGTTGTCAGTCGTGTTTCCAATTTTCTGTGATCCATGATTCACGTGATTTTCACGCCTTTGGACGGGGGGATAACCCATCTTTAGTAGTGTCCCTCTTCCACTCGAAGTCCTGGTTCGGTTTATGTAAACATTGGGACGATAATTCATGCCCTCACTCTCGGACAGAGCGGGTAGAACACATCAGGCTTCAGTCATCGCGCAGTCCGCTTCCCACCCTTCTATGTGCTATTCAACTATGTCAGCACATGATGCGCCCAACATTGGGGTGATATACTTCCTCGCACCTAATTTTAAATTGATGTACCGCTTGTAGCGTATAGCCGTCACTAGAGTACCAAATGATTTCTCTCCACTTCGAGTGAGCATTGTCATCTTTCATCCACACAAGATAACCATACGTGCTTTCACCAGCGAAGAGCGAGGGCAATTAGGGCCAAGCAAAATGCACCAATCCTTGCAGTAGCAAGTATTCTGCCAAGCATCATCGCCTGGCCACAGAATACGCAGGCGTGTGGTTTGCAGCAGCATGTAAACTTCTTTACTTCCACAATATCAAACATCTGCGTGGAGTAAGGCCATCACAGATAATTCAATAATCAAAGGGGGTGGGGGTGCTACTGATGCACCGCCCGCTCCTAAACTCTGGCAGGACGTTAATAAAAACCTACAAGTGTGAAGAAACAATCATCTGCTGCAATCACGTATTGGCCAGCCAACACATCATCAGACAAGGCTTATTTTGGGCCTCTACTGCTGTAAAGAATCCTATCGACAAGTATCTCACTAATTTAGCACTGCTACAGGGAATGATTGCTTACGTGTGACAGCTTTAACTTGCTGCACCAAAAACCCAACATCCTTCCTCGCTCTCTCAACTTCTGGCACCTTCCTGTTGCTTCAGGACCTAGCTACGCAGCGTTGTAGATATCCAGGCAACTAGTCTGGACTTGATACCGGACTAGTTTAAACTGCTGAAGATCAAAGCCGCATGTAGAGACCACCTTTTCCAGCCCTCTTATTTCTGGATGGAGTACAGCACGTACTCAACAGTGATATCCTTCGCTTCCTCCACATTCGCTTGGCTTCCTCTTCGTACCCTTCAAATTTCATCCGTACATCTCTACCGCCGCCTATTCTGCATCACTCACTGCATATCTTGAAGCACACATGCTTGCATTGTCATGTCCAAGTCACGCATGCCGTTAGCAGTATGACGGAGAGGACTCCACTTTGCAACCTCCTGTTGCAAAATCTAAGCAATCATGATACTTCTGCGTGACAGAAGCGCCAGGTGAAGCAGGAAAGGATGAAGTCATGACTCCTCACCACCACATGGTGCACCACCTCGGTAGCTCCAAGGCCAGCGCACTATCACCTCTTGACCCGATAACCGGACACAGTTAGCCATGTGTGCTGTGTAAACTTTAACTGAAGCTAAGGGATTTCTGGGCGAACAGATAGTGAACAAGGGATATGCCTTGTAACCACAGTATCTGCGAAGGATGTGGGCCTGGTCTAATCCAGGCTATACTGAGGAAAAACTTGCATCTATGTTTGCAGTAACCCTACACGACCCTCATGATACAGCCATCATTGGTCCAAATTGATCAACATCACCGGTGTTCATACTATATTTGATACTTCTTGACAAGCTTCTCACGCATAGGCGGATCAAGAGCGGCCATGCATTGATCCCAGGTAGGTCCAGATAGCAACTGCACGTTGCAATTCCATGTCAAATGTCAGCTGCTGTAAAATAAACCGGTATGAATGACAATCCATAAAATGAACAGGATTCCAACATCTGAGATGTACTGCAAACTATCAGACTACATATTATCGCACGTATAGAAACCACCAATGTTCTAGACATTACCTGTTTGTAGCCGTGTAGAACCTGAGCAATTTCAGATCTCAGATCTGCACTTCGAATTTCCTGTTTCAAGATTTCCAGCAGACATAAGCACTTGACCAAGCCTCTGAGAAGAACTCATTATGGAACAATAACACTCGTCAAACTGGCAGTACGAAATGATGACCACTGTAAGACTGCACTTGCACCCCACGTTCCTGACTACCATTGATCTCAGTGTTCTGAGATATATAAGTTGAGAAACTTACATGCCAACTACCTATGGCTTCGCACATAGGGACGAAGGCACTCACGGCACCTCCAGGATTTAGCCGCACCTGTAATGTGATAATTGAGATATTACATCAGAGACTTAAGCAACTGAGACAGGAACACCCAAAACTCATTACTGTCAAAAAATGTATATCTACTTCATTGACATCTTCAGTTTCAAAGGAAATTTGTGTGACACTTCGAATGCAATATTGGTAGAACACTCATAATGAACAAGGAGGCTTAGGAAGCAAACAGTAGCGTGTAGTGAAATTTATAAAGAAAAACCATTACCATGGCACAAAGACCTCTAAAAGCGTCTTCCTTCTCAACGTCATCGCGTATTCTGCAGAAAAAAAAATGTTATCATTTACCACGACTTATTTACTTCCATCTCGACTCCACAAATAAATTTCAAATGATGTACTAAATACCTCTGTCTTTCCCGAAAAAAACAACTGGAATGGAAGTGACACCCTATACCTCATAAGCTCCAACTTAATGCGAAAAAAGAAGCAGACGTATTACATTAAAATGGTGAAAACATAGTCTACAATTTGTCGATGTAAATGTCAAATCCTGTTTTCATTTGAGCGCTGAAGTTAGGTCCGCATAAAGCTACTCGTAATGAAACTACTTAGAAGAGAGAGAACTTCTTACGAGCGAAGAGCGTGGCACCAGGCTAGCATGAAGTGGTCCATATGAGGAGCTACCAGATCTGGACAAACCCATCCCAGCCTTCCTAATGTGATTGCACTGTTCTCTAGAAGAGATTTGTTTAGACCCTGTAAGCCAAACCCAAAAACTCCGTTAGTAACAAACGGTTAACTCATGGTATCCGAAGCAAACTGTTCTCCCGGCTCCTCAACATAAATGAACCGGAACAACATGACCTCTAAAACAACCAGCCAACGTCAAAAGTTATAGCTTCCTCACCAATGAGATCATTAGATACACTACTCATGGTCTGAAAAGCCAGAACTCACCTCTGTACTCGTAAGAATAGGGACCAAGCATGTGATAACATTCATCACGACAGGCGAAATTTCTTGCCGGACCTGCAAAGTATCAAGCTATTTGAATATTAGAAAGTGAAAACTTGAACGGCTAGGTGAAAATCAAAAATATTCCTGAACGAAACTACTGCTGCAGATTTGCCATCAGACAATAACAACTAACCTTCACAGCAACTTCGCCAATTGCCCAGCACGCATTGTTGGCAACAGAGACATTGTCCTTCACTTCCGAACCCTGCTGAGCTCCACCAAGCAATAATGACGCAAGGGTATCAATGACCGTCATCATTTCTAGTGAGCTAAAAAGCGTTTCAGAACATAACTACAGTAGGAAATTTCATGCTTTGTTATACACGAGGAAGGGATACTTTACCAGCTGCTTAGCTGCTAAATTTAAAAAGTCAGGCAGGTGAGGCTGCAGGTGCACCGCACAGGCCTGCATGAGGGAAAGTACACACAACGGTATTTATCGTTAAGTGACAGAGCCAAAAACAGAATACATCATCAAACTTCTTTATATCGATCTTGCATTTTTAAACCGGACAGAACTAAAGAAACGTTGGTTCATGTCCTATTCTGGCGTAAAGTCCAAATACTCATCTACTCTCAAAATCGAGAAGACACGTAGCACACCTTTGCAAGATCACCAAGAAGCGCTAATGCGCTTTGTCGAACATCGGCAGCATCATCGGCGCAGCATTGCAGGAGAAGATCTCTCAAATCACTTCTTGAAACCTGTAGAATACCAGGTATAAGTACAATGTTCCACCTAAATAAGATTTCCTGTACAAAATAAAACTTTTAGAGTAAATATAAGAAATTGGTAGTAAAAAAACTGTTGGTCGTACCAGACTTTCAATGCTGCTGCCAAGGCCTTCGGCAAGGCCTGACAGCAAATCCAAAGAGCAGACGATGAACTCTTTGTCATATGCTACACCAGCCCTCCCAGGATCAGCCTGCAAACATAAGCAAGCAAGTTCATGGCCGTTGTCAATGTAACAGGTTTCATGGCAAGTAATCATACCAACTGTAGTTCTGGAACTTGACCTCAGTGAACATCAAGAACAGGTTCGGACAAACTGGGTTTGTTCTGTAACATCAACCCTTGTTTCAGCTCAATTTTAGCTCAATTTTAGCTACATTTCGGGTAGATATGTTACAAAGGACAGAACAAATTGGATAAAACATTCTGTTTGTCCCCAACCACGGCGACATACTAGCTCAACTCAAATCTACTGTTCCTCACAAGGTCGAATGGAAGTACCTTTGCTACCTCTTGAGTTCGGATGAGGTTGATACACCTCACAAATACAGGCTCAGCATAAAGGGAAAATCCTGAACCAAGTGCCTGCATTAAACCAAAGATCAATTAAGAAGTAGTTTTCTACTAAGTTGGTAGAATTGTACACAAAACATCTACTCCATAGTCGCACCGTATCTCTTGCGGGTTTCAGACGCAAGTTACATAAACACATCATCGGCATCAATTGCAGAGATAGAACTAAAACGATGAACATGAAATCTGATACTACCTCGCACAAACAGATGTAATGTGACTAACCCAAGAACAAGAAAACAACTCTTGATGGAGAGTTATCGTGTACAAAATAATTTGATTCATTCGCACAAGAAAGAAAACTGTAGAGTATCAAAGTACCTGAGCTATCGAGGTGAAGCACTCAAGAAGTGGGAACAGGTCTTTGTCTGAATCAGGAAGTTGTTGCCACTTGTTTATAAGTGGTGGCATGAGAATCTCCAGATACTTCACCTGTGCAAATTAAAAAAAAACCTTAGTATATTCAAAACTAAACAAGCCAATGTCTTCTTGAGACGCTCAATCCTATGTAAGATAATCCATGACTGATTCAAAGTTATTTTCAGCACCGATCACTAAGAATATTACAGTGCATTTCATTACTGCATAGTGTAAAATATGTAGTTCACCATTTCACGACTTGGTTAGAGAATTACCTCATTAAGTTCTGAACCCACAGCATCAGCCAAAGTCCCAATTGCATCATAAAGTATCCTCAAATTTCTCCTCTGCGCCACAATAAGATAACAATATCCTTCATGTGATTTCGTGACCAGACAGTTCTAAAGATATACTAGGAGAACAAACACAAAGGATCAACCATAACCCTTTAGGTCCAAACCAAAAAAAAGCAATGGAGGAGAAAAGATGGAGACAACAGTATTCATAGGTTCGTTGTACGAATCTCAAGGACAAACTAGATTTTCCTAATGACCTCCTGGCTTCAAGGTGAATATAGGCGTTATCCGGCCTCATAACATCAAGACATGCATGCTGTTCACAAACTCCTCACCGTACAACAGTTCCAGTGGAACTTACTAAGGCCCTATCACGTGCCTAGAAGTGATGGAGACTTAAATCCTTAATCCCCATATTCATAAGACTCTTCAAATTTCATAATAATCTAGTAGAATGATTGAATCCCACTACCTCGTCAACATACCTGATACTTTCCAAATGCAAACATCAGATGTTGCAGGATAAGCTCAAGTCTGGGAGCCAATTCTTCAGCTGCCTCCTGTATTTAAACCCAAGGAACAAACATTCTCTCATTAAGATATTGACAATCATGTCAAACTTCACTTCGTAGATTCTCTGACAACTCTTAGTTTCCTACACATTTAAAACGGATCGCCAGTGGGCTGCTCATATGACGTATAACAGACTTGTATTCGTTCATTTTTGCCTATAACAGCACAAAAACAATGGACGCCTTACCCAGGCTACTCGGTGCTAGACGAATCGAGTAGCCTGGACGAGACGAGGAAGAAAATAAGTGAGAGGTAACGGAGAGGACAACCAGAAACCAACAGGTGATGGACTTTAACCAACCTCTTCAAGAGTGGCAAACGCAGAACACGCAGCTTCTTGGACTCGCTTATTACTATCTAGAATGCGTCGTAGAAGTCCAGTGAGTACTTTATCAAATTGCGCATGTCCATCAGGATGTCCGACAGCCTGCAAAAAATGGAAACACGAGGATGTAAGATGGGATGAAAAAAGGGAGGAAGATGAAGCACTATAAAAAAATGAGGAAGGTATCTCTTATGATAGCAAAAAAATAAGCCAACACGATTTACTCAAGGTCAATGCGGTACTTGTTCACAATGTAAGAAGAAGAGCACGTGATAGAGTGGAAGAGAATAACTCACCTGCACAATCCACTTGCTGTAGCGTGAAAGAGTCCAGCACGTAATGCTTCGCACGAGTGGGCGCTTGTCCTCCAAAAGGGGGACAAGGAATGCAACAATCTAATCACAAACGTTCAGGTTGATGACTTCCAAGTGTAAGCTGACAAGTCATCACATAAAGTAGTAACGTCAATGATAATTTGCGAGTGACACAAGAGTTGTGCAGATGCACCTGATAGAGACAATCAGACAAACTACCTGTGTCAGGTGCGGAAGTAGACCATTGATGCAACCTTCAGCAACTGCACCCAAGGCCAACACAGCAGCCTCTCTTGCCTTCCACGCAGCATCTGTCGGTTGAGAAAGATTTGCCTGACAATTCCAAAACGATCAAACATGAAGTCGTAGCAACATCATCGGTTATCTTGACAGAAAAAGACTAACTTTATTTATCAGCGAAATCATATTTCACGTACATAAACTGGTAAACATAAATAACATGTGATACCTGAACAAGAGGCATGAGTACGGGAAGAAGCTCATCTCCAAAAACGGTAGACAATATGTCCAGCCCAGCGGCACTACACTTCCGTAGGTTCCATGAATTAATTATATCGTCGTCTTCCTGCAAACAAAAAAATAAAAACGTTGAAGATTTGTCCAGAAACGGCCAATTTGACCACCTCCTTGAAACTTAGTGACTGGCAAGATGCTAGAACAATAATATACCTCATCTTCCTCATTACCGCCGTCGGCACCATGTACTCGAGATTGATGGAAACGGGGCTTAAGGTCCTGAGACATGCCGAAAAATTCATGAGTTAACTCTTGATACTGGATCCATACCTACCGCTTCAAAACGAATGAGAGTAATCTAAACCAAACGACCTTAGATCAATAGCAAATAATTATCTTATACATTAGAGCGAACAAATTATCCAGTGTCGACTCACGAAACAAATGGAAAACTGAGGAAAGTAAAAAAGACAAATGCTACAAATATCAGAAACAATCGATTACCTGGTCTCTGTCAGGTCCATTCTCATCATCCTGTAACAATAAACCCACATTCATACAACCAACTTCAAAATTCTCCCCAAATATACCGCACGTCAAATTGTTGAAGATAGGAGGCGTCAAACACGGCAAACATGTCTTCATTGAACTGCAATCCATAATTCATCACTGAGGCTAACAAACAACCACAAAGCTTACATCGGCATCGACGAGGGCCTCGTCATCATCAGCGTATGCCATATTCGTCAACAAAACCTGTAAAATAAACTCTAAATACTTAAAATAGAAGCCGGATAAAAAACTAAGCTTCAAAAAAAAGCTCAGAATTGGAGATAAACGACATATTCAACAGTTCCGATAACCATCCAGAACTGACTCCATACATAGTTCTAAAGGTATACGACTATCTACGGTGTCCTTGGGCTGACATGGTCGGCAAAGAGGTTTCAGCATAGAAATGGTGTGTACCTCTATAAATTAGCTTCATCAGACATGTTTAAAACCTTCCTACATTCGTTCAGTTATCAGATGAACACACAACTTACAGTTATCAATCGAGGAAGAAACTCCCTCAGAAGCTCAGGTGTACAACGTGCTTCACAAAATGCAGACCTATAAGAAGGCGAATGAAAGGGTGCCTTAGCTCATGTTAGGTGTGACCAGTGGAAGCCGTGAATCATACTTTAATTCGGCAAATAATGTACTCTGCAAAGTAACATCACTGCAAGAGCTACAGTGACTTTCTGGCTACACTGTTGGAAATATGACACTGTCCAAGAGGCGCCATGTCAAATGTTCTAGACCTGTGTAACGAACACAACGTAAACTTCCATACATCCAGGCATAGAGAGTGAAGAACCCACCAGAATTCACATGATTCAAGTGCTACTTCTTCGTCTCCATCTTGATTAGCTTGCAGCATGTACTCAATGACATTTCTCATGTGTGGCTGAATAAAGAAAACATCACAATCCGATCACGCTTTTAGTCGGCGCACCTAAGGGTGGACCGTATGATCCATAGTATTTTCGATGATGTCTTTAATGTCCCCATATCAAGATTCAAAAGCATAACACTTCCGCTAGACTAAGAAGACTATATATTAGTGAATGCTCACAGGAAGCTTTAAAATAAATCTCACCTGCAGAAAGTTCGGCTGCACTTCGAGAAGCTCAACCAAAGCAGCACACACCTGCCACAGAGCAAAGTATCAACTCAGTCATCACGTCACAACCAGAAAAGTGATTGTTAAGTAGCAGATTTGGTGATTTGCAGGCATCCTTAGACTTCTTCACTTCAAGGGGATGTGTCAAGAAAATTACCAATTTACGGACTTCTGGAGCAGGATCATCAGCCAACGAGAACAACCCTTGAAGATAGTTGTCCATGTTGATGAAAAGTGCCTGCGGGAAACGCACATCATAGATTTAGGTCAAAGGCAAAAATCCTTCGGACGATATCTTCTTGGAACGGAACTGCAGAAAACGACGCGGGAAAAGACGTCAAACTTACTGTTGGCAGCGATACGATGAACTGATTCACCGTCCCAAGGGACAGTTTCCGCAAAGTGGCATGTTGCGAAGAAAAAAACTGCAGTTCCCACAAAAGTGAGTGAATGCGATCACGCAAAACCTGTACGAAATCAATCCTACACATCTCCACATTAAACAGAACCTACCTTAAAGACAGCAAATCATGCCACACTGGAAAATTGCCAGCGTTCGGCTACCACAAAAGTTGAAGGAAGTGTCACAGAACCTGAAGGAGTCTTGGTAGGAAGACGTTGATAGGTCGATCGGACAAACCAGGCACATCCGAATCCAGCTCCACTGGCATGTCTTCACATATCTGGAGTCACATTCACGTTGCGACTGCTTAAGCCACATTTACTCTCCCGAAACAAAGCTTTTAGGTCACCCAACCATCCGGAGCTTCAATTGCCATTCGAAAATTTACTGAGAATACAAATTCAACTCTAGTAAACCTCATATATCTTTGACTTCAGCGTTGTAATAAATCATATTTGTAAGGCCAAACAACAGGACATATGTACCACGAGGAACGGTGGGCATTCGCAAACTTACACAATGGAACTCTATATCAAAAATAAATCATAGGGCAAGCTTATGTAAATGACGGGAATTAGTCTACTGATAAAATTAAGCTCCATAGACAGAATTGTGGTGTTTTGAGTCTTACGTATCCATGCGAAAACATTCCCAATTGGTCTGACAGCCCACTTCAGTATCACGACACTCCCACCATGGTCAACAATATCATCGAAAATAAGAAGGAAGTGATTTGAAACCTTAGAGAGGGCATCCAGAGCTCCTTCCATGTGGTTGTAGTCGTTGCTGTCCAAACACTGAGCTATAGCCTGAAATATCTCGGGCCATCCCTGTACGTGGACTTGCTGTACCACAACACTTATGACTGTGCCCACGGTGGCACGAATGTGTCTATCGGACGACCCCAAACATGGCAAAAGCTCAGCCTTGATGTAATGCTGATATGCAGGAGCAATGGCTTGGTAGTTCGCCTTCAAATTATTCTTCAACAGCAAACCAGCGGCTTGCCTCACTTCCACAGAGTGACCCTGAAAAACAATGCAGCAGGTCCTTCAGGTATTGCTTCGTGTCCGATAATCTCCATCACTCATAGTGCGAAAGCGGCATGTCAACCAAAACGAGAAAATCCTAGAGGGCGTCACAACCCTCAAAAGAGCATGAACCCACTACCGCAATTCGATGCATATAGTCTCCTTGTTCCTGTGAGTATCCAATCCTTTCATTGTAATAACACATGACCCAACGTCTGGAATCCGGCGACATCGAATGTGGCTGCCTCCGACGGCGTTTCAATAGACAGGCAGTAAACCACTTGACACTGCACCCACTTTATCGGCAGCAAGAATCTTCTCGATATGAAAATTGAGTGCACTTCATATTAAAGAGTGAAAGCAAAGGCTAGCGACCGTCCGCAGTGAACCTCATGACCGCATCAACAGGGCCAGTTCCGAATTCAAGCTGCAATGTCTCCCCTGTTTAACCCTAAGTTGTACCTCCGAGTCGAAAACACATTCCAGGCCAACTATGGGACTCAATCCAAAGGGCATTCCTGTCAAAATTCTCTGAGACCTCCTAGGTCACGAGAGACGAATGTTTATCAAGAAACTCAGCTGACGTCGGCAGCATGCCACTGCGGACTGACGAACACAAGCATGGATTTTGTAGAATCGAGTGAGTCACGTGGAATAGATTGAATCCAAAGGCACGTGGGGCCTCGTCGGTGACCCCAATCTCTCAACTGTTGAGCAAGGAAGACCTAATTATTCTTGAGAAAAGTCGTACTTGCCACGCGACTTGAACAAGAAACCTAACCATAAACCTTCAACTGTAAACCACCAATTTCTGCAAGAGAAAGCGAAAACCAAAGGCAGGCAGGCAGGATGATCAGCTGAGGCGGCAGTACCTCAGCGCGACAAAGAATGAAGGTAAGATAGTTGTTGAAGTCCGGAAATTGGCTGCAGCGCTGAAGCTGCTGCCAAATGCGGCTCTGATCCACGCTCGGCTGCCTGAACTCCTGAAGTAGTCCGCATATCTCCTTCACTCCTTCCTCCTGGGGATGCCATACAGGAGTAGCCATGATCTCCTCCCTGCTCCCGTCTGTTCCACCCTCCGCCTTGGACGCCCCGTCTCACCAGGGCGAGATACTGAGACAACCGATTGTTTTATAGGAGCGTGAGCACTCACTCACTCACTCACTGACCTCAATCTCTCACTCAAATCTCGCAAGTCTCTGGGAAGCGCGAGAGTCTGCAAAGGTCTCGATGACTAGCTATTCTTACATCCTACATCAAGTAACCAAGAATTTCCTAGTACCTATCTTCTTCATACTGATCCTGATTACCTAGCCATGTTCCAGAAAAGGCTGTGGCCGCACAGTCGGCAGGATGGGACGCAAGGGTACTACCGAAATTGCACTAAGCAGAAGGGTACAAGGCGAGTCAATCGAGGGGGGGAGTGGTGCGCGAGACAGTGTAAACAAGATGGGACTACAAAGAAGAGACGCACAGCATGAACCTCAACTCCATGGCGACGGAGCTGATGGACTAAGGACGGAGGGTAGATGAAGTGATCAGTTAGAGACGGATGCGAGAAAACTTGGGTGGAACAACATGGGCAACTCGTTTTGCATGTACACGGGACAAAATCCGAGGGGCAGATGAGAACGACCAGAGGATGAGCAGACGAGGCTGAAATCCGATTAGTACACAGGCAGACGTATCAAGAGATGAAACAACGGAACTAATTTCAACACAACGACCAATGCAACAAATATGAATGAATGAAGGACGAAAAGATTTTAGCGCATGTTCAATGGATGACGGAGGCCACACCTCAATCGTCTATAACCTCAGATGCAAAAACTGAGGCCACAACCACCAGTGAACAAAAAATACGAAAATAGGTCGACCCCGGAAATTTGCAGCCCCACGATCAGAACCTCTCGGTGCCTCTCCCTACGCTCTACCTACACTACCACTACAGAAGAAGTAAAATGAGATTCAAATCTCACTGGAATCTACATACACAAAAAGAAGCCTCGTCTGTCTACGAGCACGGCAGTGGAGTGGCCTGAGGATGGAGCAAGATGCCTGCCAGACGTCTAGACCACCAAAAATTCACAAAATCTCTTCGTCACACCCACGCCTTGCTCCCTCCGATCCTCCTTGCTCCCTCTGGTTCTAGGATTAATCTAAATCGCTCCCTAAAAAACTCATTAAGAATCTACCTCTTACTGTGTGTGAGTAGTGTCTGAGACTCAGAGTGTTGTGTGTCCTACGACAGGGCAGTGGCTGGCAGGCAGTAGAGGCAGGCAGCAGGGTCCAACGCCTCGGAAGTGCCTCAAGGAAGAAGAAGAAGATGGAAGAAGAAGAAGAACGGAAAAGGATCTAAAGGGATCTGGTAGCGGGCAAACATGGAGAGGGGGAAAAGCTGTGCTGCAAACAGATGCGCGTATTGAAGCAGCAGCCACCAGCAGCAGCAGCAGCGAGTAGCCAAGCTGTTTTCTCTCTCTCGACTCTCTCTGTCTCTGTCCTCGGCTCCCTGCCCTCCCTCGCCTCGTCCTCCTCTTTCCTTCCTTTGGCCTTCGTCCTTCGTCCTTCCTTCCTTCTCCCCTTGGTGGGCTGACTGGCTGGGCTGGCTCGGCTACTGGCTCGGCTACGCTAGATCTGCCCCTGTGTGTCAAGAGCGGCAGATGAGTGTGACAGAAGAGAACGCCCGCACCGCCGGGATGGGGTCGGCCGGAAACCCAGTCGAGTCGGTCAGTCAGTCGGCCGCTCCCTCCATTCCTCCCTCGCTCGCTCCCTCCCTCCCTCCCTCCTCTCTCTCCTCTCTCTCGAGCACCACTTCCCGTCCCTTGCGTCCCATGGCCCTCATAATTTCAAACATGTTGCATCGGGTGGGCTTCCATCGCCGTCCCTTCTCATCTGACGATCTTAAATGGGCCCCGGCCGAATATTTGCGACCCAGGACCATTTATGACCATTTTCCCCTGGCGACGTACGTCGTCCCTCCCTCCCTCCCTCGGCCGCTCCTACGCTCCGCCAGGCGGACTTTTTCCTAAGGTCGATTTTCCGGATTGCGCATGGGCTCCCAATCCCGCTCCACCGTCCAAATCTCCATCCGACGGACGGCGAATTTCAGACCGCCTGCGAGGTTCGGATATCGCGCTTTCTTTTCCCTGCGGTGATTAGCGTCAATGCTTTTGCCACAATAGCCCTCGCCGTTGGTCCATTCGTGAAAAGCACCCCATTAACCGGCGCAGCTGAGGTCGGACGGACGCGCGCACGCTCTCACGGCACAGTCGGTCCTTCCTACCTCGCTCGCGGGACTCGGGACCCTCCCCCTACCCACAGCTCCCGCAGTAAGCAAGTCAGTGCGTCAGTCCGTCAGCCCGTCGGTCGCCCGGCGAGCAAGGCAAAGAACCATTGCAGTGGGGCATTGACATGGTGAGCCCACGTACGTGGTCCAGCAAGCTTGTGTCCGTATACGCTGCCGCCTACTGGCCGTGAGATGCGCATCGAACGATCGCCGGGATTGGGAATATTTGCGGGCTCTAGCCCTGGGGTAGAGTTCGGGAACAGTACGAAAATGCCTTATTCTGGATAACCTGTCCCATCCTTTTTGCTATCTCGCTTGGTGCCCCCGGTAACACTAACAATTTGGATAACCTGTCTTGCTCCAAGGTCTCTGTGTCTGTCTGCCCATCGATTCCCCTTACAATGTCAACCCCGTGTACCACACCACGAATATATAATTTCTCTGTCTTTCCCCTTCTTTGTCCGTGTATGTACTGTATGTACAAACATTTGTAAATCGACCACATTTATCAATACCACTCGATTCTCTCGCTGGTCCACTGCCATACATAGATCTTTGTTCCATACCCAAACGTATAACTTCAAGCCTGCTTGATGCGTATCCACAAGAAGGATGCATATAGTTCGTACTTGTCGCACTCGATCACTTCCTCACAAGCCACAAATTGGATCGGACGGGCGAATCGCAGTTCATAACGTCTGTGGATGACAATGATGATGATGTTTGGAGGCGAGAACAGAAGAAAAAAGAGATGGAGTGTTGTGTAGTGAATGCATTGCGCATCAACTGCAAATCAATCTCTTGGACTGGATGTATGTCCTTGCAGCGCAAGGCACGACATGTAACTTGGTAAACTTTATCAGGCATATCGCATTCGAACGACGCAATGCACAGTTACCTCTCAATCATACACTTGACTCGTCTTATCTTATCTTAAAGAGTTTTGCCTCTTTGTTCGTTGCACGCTCGGACTTTGCTGCTTTCCGTGGTCACCTCCTGAAGAATATTAAACGTCAACACAGTCAACTTGGTAAATGCTGAAAGAGACAGCCCCCATGAGAGGAGAAAGAGCGACTTTTCAAGTCCGGTAGTTGAGAATGTTCAGGACAAAAGATGACTCGCACGAATGTCCTCGGCAGCTGAAAGAATTTCATCGGAAGATGTTTTCAAGTTAGGGTACGCCGCTACCTTGTCATCGAGGCTTCGGATGGAGTACATACTGTTCACTGCGTAAATCAAGAAAAGAATCAGCTGAAGACTCAGGCCGTGTGGTTCCACTTAGAGTCGGCAAGACTTCTATGGTCCAGTACCGTGGCCAAGTCGATCAAAGAACTGGCTCTTATATGAGAACAATACTCTCTAAAACTCTGTTCTCTTCTTTGCGTCTCCCTTTTCCCGTCTGTAGTGGTCCACGTAATTTAGGCAATGTTTTGTGTCCAAGGCCGTGTTGTGGAAAATCATTCTAACATACAATGTTAGAATGATCAAAAACTTTATGGCTACGATACTAAAGATCTAGGGCTTGGCCAAGATTCATTGTTCGTAATGAAGATTACACGGAAGATGTGCAGATTGGTCCCGAAACTTTCGAGATGGCTCCAAGAATTTGAGACCTCTTTCCCCATCGCCCTCATGGATTTTCTTGTTCGCTCTTGTATATGTGCTTCTCTGAAGAACGATCTTGGAGGTTTTTTCGAAGAAGGACGACTGAGCTCGGGATCGAAATGGAGTGCTCTTCTGCTCGTTCCTCGATGTTCTTTATTTCTCCTGCCTCTGCCATTTCTTTCCGACCCTTCGTGTCTTTATAAACAGTTGGCGCCAGCATACGGCTTCGTCAACTTGTGGCTCGGATAAGAAAAACGATTTTCAAAACGTACAAACTTTCAAATCCAGAACATTCATACAACGCAACTGCAGAGATCACGATGACAACGTCAGCGGCTTCTTCTTGATGGCAACTGACTTCTCTTATTATCCCTGTTTGTCGATTTACCATCACCACATCATTTCTTGAAGCGGGTTAACTATAACTTCAAGAATCTTTATCCACATAGTCATGTAGTTGTCATACAAATACAATGATAACCATCTACATTAAGTTTGGTATTTCAATCAGACATATCAAACCCAACGACAAATAGTCAATTTTTCTTAAGAAGGTATGTCGCTATACTTTTATGGAAAAAAAAAGTCATATTATGTAAAGTTTCAGCATGCACTTTGGTTTAAGGTAGGAAAAAGACAGCACTGTAGCTTTGAAAACTAAAAACGGGACAAAAAATGTAGATAACATATGCTCTTATATTAAGTATCCTAATGGATATTCAAAGTAAAGTAACCAACTATATTTCTTAAAGAAGTATATAGATAAAGTAAGTAGTATTTAGTACTTGTTTCTTATAAAATGTATCCGTTTGAATTGCAACCAAGAAAAATGAAGCAGATTACTTTTTTAACATGCAAAAACAAGGAAAACAACATGCAAGTAAGTCACAAACAAATCGAATGAATGGTCACGAAACCAACTTTCATAAAATCATGTTACAAATCTTGCAAGACGTTATGTGATTTCCAAAAAAATGGTTTCAGTTTACGTCATACAATTTCTTTGGTATAAATATGTACAAGGAAATTATCGAAAAATCCACCCCAAAAAATATAATTTCTGAAATAATTTGAATGTCATATATTCGAAGGAAATCATATATTTTTCTAAAAATTTAATAACCTGAAGCGCGTAAGGTTAAAATTCATAATTCAAAACCAAAAGAAAAACAAATGTTTATGTGCTGAAAATCAAATCAACATTTTATCATCCATAATTCAACATGGACGTCTCATAGAAATGGAAAACGTGATCCACTTTAGGATGATGTGAAATTTTACATCACTCTAAAATGATAAACCGAAATAATTTCTCATTTTCTATTATTGTTTTTTAACAAATGCTCAACGAATCTTTGTTAGCAACATATGATGAAGTAAGGATAAATCGTAGATAAAAAACTTGGTTTTTGATTTCAATAGGTTATACATCATGAGAAAAACATCTGAACACAAATTTATGATGACCAGATTTTATAGAAAACTTTGAATATAAATACTGAACAAAATGAGCATGATGAAAGTGTTTTAACATGTTTCGGTATGGAAAGAATGTCCTTTCAAAAAATCAAAAAATCTCAAGAAATATAAAAATTTGATTATAAAAAGAAATAATATATACCGATATTCTTTATTTCAAAATATAACAGTATAAAAATTCCTTGATGACTTATAAGATTCTTTATTTCATCTCATAAGTAAAAGAAAAAATCTCGAATAATCCGACCATTGCTCTACATGATGACTGACATTGAACTCAAGATTCTATAAATTTGAAATAACTTCTGCAAAAAATACGTTGGCACCTTGAATTGATGTAATGAAATTCAATACATACAAAATAATCAGTATACAACTCAAAACTGGATGTCAAACATCGAGCGTTGAAAATTTTGTTCAGATTTTCTACTAAAATAGAGACCATATAAGCAAAGATTGTATTTGTATAAAAATATTCATTTTGTTGAGCATTAATTTTACAAACTATTATATATATGGTAAAAGAAATAAACTTTTGCTTTGATAAACTTTTTGCTTTGATATTTCATATATGAGTATCTAAAAAATCAAATGAAGATCTTCTATTTCAAATTTGCAAACAAAGGATGTTTTCAGCTTTTTTCATCTTTGGTTAATGATTGCTTTATATGCAGATTATCATCAACGCAGTTAATCGATTGCTTATATTTTCACGCTGAAATTCAATCAGATCTTTTTCAAATTGAAAAATTCAAATTTTCTGTGTAATGTATCTTTATGTATGTATTGAATTGAAAAACATAGAATTCATTATCCCACGAATGTGAATGTTGGCCTATCATTAGTTGATTATTACATAATGCAAATCAATATCTAGGATAATAACTGACAAATGATTGTCACCAGTAATACTGCCAGTAGCAAATTTAAATCATGTTGAAAGTTTCTTTACTTTAAGAAGCAAGATTTTTTAACAAATAATCATATGTTGGAAGGATGAGCAGGCTGCGTACTTACGTACAAATGTAATTGTACATGGATGTTGTTTCAACGACAGATATGCAAATGACCCAAAAACAGTTTTTCTAAGATAAGGTGTTGTACATGTGGCTACCAACAGAAAATTGAGTGTAGGATGACTTTATAACAGGTGCACCTTGCTTGCTAATTCTTGAAAAGAAGAAACTGCAGTAGAAGCATTTGAAACTTAGAACACATGTATCACCGCTCGTTATATTATTTACCATGACAAATCATACAATATTCTAAAAAAATGCGTATAACTCTAAAAATAAGCTCCAAGGCCACACTTGTGGATGATAAATGTTTGCAAAACTTCCAGACTATGATAAGAGAATTTATGTGCCAGTATCAGACGATTTTAAAGATATCGCAAGAGAATCACATAAACTCTTTTCTTCAACTTAATCTAATCGCCATAACTTATGCATTCAAGATCGGTACCTAGTTAAAAAAGTCATTAAAGAGAGATTATCACAAAACATGTTCAATTCTATAACATCAAGTAAAACATTCATACTTACATGTTTTTAGATATGGTAAGCCATACATTTATAGCTGGTAGGGAGTCTTCTTTCTTTCGTTATGAATCCCGCCATGGGTATTATAACCTCCATGTAATGCAACCCAACAACCGACTCTACCGGGAACATAAGGAAAAAAGCTAAATAGGATCTTAGCGACCGAGTCACTTTGCTGACCAAGAGAAGGAGAACTGTGATACAACTTGAACCTTGTTAGCTTAGCTGTGATGGTGTGTACCAGATTAGATTTAAAAGGTATTAAATGGGTAGGAAAGGCTAGTAATTTTAATTAGATTGATCTACCATGTCTTTTCTGATCCCGTACTTCCAATTCATTGTGTGCATTTCTCCTTTTCGTTCCATAAGATCACCATTCTACAGAAGAGTGGATAGAAAGTTAATATTCGAGCAAACGAGGATATGCTTGAAAACTAGAGGCACGGGATGATAAGGAAGTATCGGAGCGAGGCCAAAGCGTAGCTAAAGGGGGCGCCACATGGCTCGATGTAGGGCAGCATGGCTCACCCAATGGACGTTTCCTAACTCTAGCGACCGGAATACTTTTTGGGCTATCCATCAACGAGCGCTCGACGCGTGGCATGAAAATGGCGAAAAAAGTATCCACACAGCGTGAGGCGGCACGTACCGTTCAGGAGTCGGTTTTACAGTCGTATTTTCAGTTTCCACCCTCCCATTGGTTCCGGGGAGAAGCCCTAGGATTCAGGCGACGGTAATGAGGTGTTTCCTCAGGGTACGTTAGAGTCTGGGTAGGAAATCCGATGGGTCAAGCCAGTGTTCAGTGGATTTAGCGAAGAAACTGATGTGTGGGGCCAGACGGAGACAGTGAAAGGTAGGGTTGGGTAGACGCAGTCTCCCTCTCTCTGCTCTGTTCGCGAACGAAGCTTTACTCTGGACTTCCTCGTACTTCCGTTCCTTCCTTCGATTCTCTCTTACGGATGCCCCGCCTTTTCATTCTTGCTTGCGGGCGCGAATACCATCGCCAATTCTGCTTTTCTCTCAAAAGTTCTTGCTTCCCCGTTTTAGCCATTCGATCCATCCGCACCCGACCCACATCAATCGCACTATCGCATTTTCGTTCGGTTAATTTCGCTGAACTCGTAACTTTGTTCCTTTCACAAACTCTCACCACCAATTCTTTCCATGCTCTCCTTGGTCGTTGCGCAATGGCTCCTCTGTACAGGCGTTCTCTTGTCGCGGAAATTTTTAATTTTGAGTTTGATGGACAATCGTGAGTAGAATTGGGTGCTTGTGAGATCGAATCTTCCAGCTTTCGTAGAGCGAGGGCTGCGGGAATTCTGCGCTCAGCAATCCTTCAATTGCCATCTCAAACATTCGAGAGCCTCTAACATTACAGCGAACATTCCGTCCCATACACAAGGTCAAGAGACCTTGTGCATGATCTGAAAAAAATTGCACCATTAATGCAGTTAGGTGAGTTTTATCTGCCTCTTTATAACGTCAATTGCAGTACGAGAGGATTACGTACGGTGTCAATCATGTAATTGATAATTTCGTGTGGGTTTAGGTTAGTGATTCCATTTTAACTTTGCCTGAGGTCAAAGGGAGTGTATGTAATTGCAGAAGATTGTAAATAAGTTGAACTAGAAGATTATAAGGCTTGTAATTCAGCGCACGACCCTGCGTCAGGGTAGTCGGTAACACATTCACAGGAGTTAATCGATTCCCAAAGCACTGATCAGCTGTAGCGTGATTTTGATCGCTGCACAGATTTCCAATAGAGGGCGACAGTGTTGATAATATCCAGTCTCAAATGAACAATTCAATGGCACCTGCTCCGAAAGGCACCTGCTCTCTTGATAAAGAGCTGTCACCTTGAACAATCGGATGAAGTAGAATAACCATTGTAGATCGAACTCATAGACTACCTTTGTAAGTATGCAACAGAAAGCTGTGTTTCGCTACGGGACCCGACAGTTATCGTTCTGGATGTAGGAGTTTCCTTGCGTAACATCGCGAGGTTTTGAATTCAAAATTTCCATGTCGATTATATCTCTACAGGTAATGGTCAAACAGAGATTTCGGAGACAAGAACGCTTTATCTGTTTCTCGAGCGATTGCGCCTCAGTCATGTTGACTGGGGAGAGAAGGTATGTGGATATTCGCTCAATTGTGATGAGCTTCCTTCCTACTTGTTCCTATCATCACCGTGTGCAAAATTTTGCTGAACAGTTTGAACTTTCAAGTATTGTTCTGCATTTTGTTTCCGTACAAACATCGACAATTTACAGTTTTGCAGTTTCCGAGCCAAAACCTCACAGTTTTTTTGACAGTGTGGGACGCTCAATATTCACATGCCACAGTAATCTGAAACTTATGTAGTTTATGGATTTCGCTAGAATATAGATTTTTCCGTTGAGAAGCACTGGTTGCTTCGGAGATCTCTTCGATCCCCTCGTTTCTCCATTTGAGATTTGTTGTAAATCTACTACCGTCGCTGGTCACATCTTTTCGTCTTGGTTACCACCCGAAATTTATCCATCAGACCTCAGTGCAGATGTTTATCTATTAGCCGGAGCAAGAGTTTTACGAGGAGAGAGTCTGTAGTATTGGAGGCCATCAATATGCGCAGTGAAGGTTGTATATAATATTATTCCATTTCGAATAGTATTTTCGGAATTGGCAACTGGTTTCTTCGGTATCTTGACAAGCATTGTGCTTGAATGTATCGATTGAAACCATTTCGTACGTGCAAGCCTCGATGGTTCTCTCCCAACACATGTTCCATTATCTCCAGGCAATTTTTCCTGGTCGATTGGACAAAGTCAAAAGTATCTGAGAAAAAGTATTTGAGAAAATAACATGGGGAAGAAGAGTTCTTAATGGGATCTGTGAATCTGTCCGAACTATGGAGTCACCAAAGTGAGGGAGATAAAGTATCCCAAAGTAAGAAATGGGCCCACTAGTAATGCACATGACAGTAGATTGAAGATGTTTTCATCTTAAGTTTCCGAGGGGTAGGAATTGGAATGCCAATTAGCCACAGAAATCACTTAAATTTCAGGGAGACTATTTGGAATATCTGCGAGCAAGGAGGAAAAAATGGACGGGATTAAACTAGAGGAACGCCATGACAGATAGTTTTGATAATGTGGAGTGTATATACAGTTTTATCAGTAAGCGTATAGACGAGACATCCTGAAGGTAGCCCAGAGCAAACGTAAGAGTTGATGAAATGGGAAACGGCAGGCTCAAATTCCAATAAGCGAAATCGATCACATTCAAAGTTTAAGAGCTATGTCTTCATTTGGAGTTGTTGTGGGTTTATCCTAACGAAAGAAGTGGTCACGTTCATAAGTCTGAGACAAGTGGTTCAAAGGACTTGATGAAGGGATGAATATTTTCATATCTTTGTGGTTATGAAACACTGAAGTCTGATGACCATAGACCCCTGTCGTCGGGCTATGACTGGGAAAACCAATCATTTTAGCTGGTACGAACGATCTTCAGTCATGTATCCAGTGTGTGCATATTGCTTCATTTTCTGACGTAAACAAGATAATCATCTGAAGGATTGTGCAATTCCTGTGCCGTGTGTGTGTTACACTAATTCAAATTTTTCTGTTCGGCTCTGTGGAAGGTCGACATGCACTGAACTCTGAGTGCCTGTTGCTACAAATTCGCCTCTCAGAAAACTTGCTAGTTGTAGAATACTATATACTACACAACCGTTTATTTGATTCTATTTCAGGGATGAAAATTTGGGAATGGAGTGTCGGCCTGCACTATACCGTCAAGTATCACACCTTGTTACCGTGCCTATACTTTTGCACTCTCTTTACACGCACATATAAATCTTCTATCGAATTTGGGTTCACCTCTGTTTTTCTGTTCCTTCGACAATATGTGAATTTTTGAATGTTGTTGGATTTTTTTGTTTGGTCATTCTTTTCAATTCTTCTGCTTGCCGATTGTATGTATTGCATGTAACACGACAGAACCCTCACGCAAAAATAAATTGCTGGAAAACGTTTGAAGGAGAATAATTCAATACGCCAGATGAAAGAACGGGCAGTACCTTGATGCTTACCTCGTTTAAGGTTTTCTGCAAGCAGACATAGAGGATCTATACTGCAGTAGTCTTTTCATACATGAAGATGTCATATATCTGGTAACTTTCCAGTCCTTTCAGTTGGTGTTCCAATGTTCGTTTTTTTTTATGATCACTTGCTTTTCCTCCTTATGGTTTGTCATTTGCCTGTTGTTCTGTTTCGGTTGTTTTGTGCACTTTTTCTCCCGACTCAGCATCTTTAGCCTGCCAATTTGAGGTGTCTGCAGGTTCTTTTGGTTTTACTATCCTTATCGTATTTGTGTTTTCGGGGCTGCTAATGTTGAAGCCTCTGTCGTTTGTGTGTTCAATTCTGTCTAAACTTGAATCATGAGAGTTACTTCTTGAAAACAAATAAAACAACCGTAAGCCTCGTTTCCACATCGCGTGTTTATAAGATTCTCATGTTTACAGGTGAAGACAGTAAGTTGTGGGTTTCGTGAAATGTGACCTCGGGTGATTAAGAATCCATGTTTGGAGCAAGTAATTACCGTGAACTGTTTTGGTATGGCAGAAGTTGATCAATGAAGGTGTTCTTTGTATATGTGCAGTGAGTGAGGAGCTGGTCAGTCATTTTCGAGACTATCTAAAGAGGAGCTAGAAGACGGTGAATTTTGGCGTTTAAGATTGAGTGGGAAGAAAGAGAATCTATCAGCAGACAGTTGTCTCGAACCATGTCTAATGGGTTTGTCCCTGTGCCTACAAAGTCTTGGGCGAAGGTTGTCGAGGAAGGGTGAGTAGATAGGACCTGTGGGGAGTTCAGGCATCTAATTCTACAATTGTTGACGTCGAGCGAATCAACATATGATTTTGTTCTGGACTTGGATGTAGTGCATCATATCTTATTCAATCGGTGTCATTACAATATGACCATGAGATCATGTCGAAATAAAGTCAATGACGATTTTTCGTTCTTCATAAGAATAACGCTTAGTTGAAACCTAACTGAATACAAGTATTGTAAACATAAAGGTTGCTTTGCAAAATCGATGAAAACTAGAAGAATAAAAAAGCCTAAAATTTTGAGGATATTTTCTTGGTACTAACGATGTATTGTTATCTTGACAGGGTTTTGACCGCTATAGTGGAAGGCTGTGTGGAAGGTTTAAATCCAGTGAAGGCTTTTTTGTCAAGGTAAGACTGTCATTTCAAGTCTAAAGTGCTGCAGATGTGCTGTTGTATCCAGATGATGTTGTAAACATGGAGAGTTGTAGGACGCTTTATAGATGTTAATTAACTAATTTTTGGAGGAGCTGCGATCAAGCACAAGCGCTGTCAGCTAGTACATTTCTTCTTCTTTCCCCGCTTTACTTGACTTTTACTCGATCACCCAGTACACCCTGTTAGGTCTCTGTTGTGTTGACTGACCGACTGCTTCATTGTTTGTCAGCGCTGTAATCACATCAGAGATTGTATCAAAATCTAAACCAATGCTTTTGGTTCCCACGGATCTTTAATTCATGAGGAATGCAATTTTTTCTAGACTCTGTTTATGCTTTTTTCCATTGCACCTTAATTACCCTTGGTCAAGAGTCTAATTCTAGTGGTACAAATTGTGACTTGTTTGTTTTTCCCTCTTCAGACATCTCTTATTCTGCGATAATCGAGTAATATGTGTTTTGAATGAAAGTAATACTCTTATTGTGACTCCTACAATTACTTTTGGTTATGGAACTCTGTCAAACTTAAACCCGTGCACATGATATTGATTTTGCATCTGCTTTTACTTGCGAGCTTCTCTATCATTAATTTGAAGGCGATTCTGCTTGCAACTTTTTGATCATCTCTTATCCAAGTTTTGTGATTACATATGCTTATCTTCAATGCCGTTGTGTTATTTTGCTATTCGCGTCTTCCAGGCATATCCCCTCGGTTGAATAATATGTTTTTTGGTGGTATAAGTTCGTATAAAAAGGAAGCAGCCATACATCCTGACATCTCATTTATTCCTTTATGGGTTGGATTTCTCCCGACATTCTAGCAGTGCGAGTTCTTATCTCGGTCTAATCAGACAAACTTGGTTAAATTAAAAGTTTTTTATTCATTATGTTGATATGCGTACCCGACTGGCTTGCACCTTTCTTTCCGTTAAATTCACATCAGAATCCTAGTAACAGCGGGAGATGAAATACAGAAACTAGACTAAAGGAAAACTGATTGATCAAAAGAATCATATGTACTCGTTTTCTAATGAACGTAATTACTTGATGAAAGAAAACGAACGTGAACATGGGGTTATGGTTGTTTCAAACTGAGCACACACATTTCGTGTTTCTCACATCTATGGACTCCAGGTTGGTGATGACGTTGAGTCGGTGGCTGAGATATTTCTCCACCGGTGAACTTTGCCTAGAGGATTCAGGGAGGCATCGTAACTCCAAATCCAAGATTGTCCCTTCTGGGCGGTGGGTGTTTGGAACTTCCGCCTTCTCATCATGAGAAGGTCCATCTTTCCCACAAAATGGGTGAATGGTGGTTTGTCCAAGAGTTAAAAAGGAGGAAAGGGTAGAGCGTTGTTCTTCGGTGAATTTGCATAACTGGATGCTGTCAGTGTTTCAATTGTCATAGTGTTGTTGTTTGACTGACTGAGACCGCTCAGATCATAAGTAACTCAATCAAATTGAAAATTTCTATTTCATAACAACCTTATTTTATGCAGTGAGCATGACGAGGAAGGAGAAGCAGAAGCACTTATTCCGGGTCTTCCAGATGATTTAGCTCTCTTGTGTCTAGCTAAACTTTCACATGGATATCATGGCGTGTTGCAAGCAGTCTGCAAAAGATGGCATTTTCTCATACAAAGTCCTGAGTACGAACGGGCCCACCTTCAAGGGGGCAAGTGTGGGGACTGGCTCTTTGTGCTAACGGAAGAACCTAAGGAAGGGAACTGGACAGCTTATGATCCTGAGGCTGGTAAATGGCATGTTCTTCCACCAATGCCTGGAGTTACCGCAGATCATCGGCATTATGGATTTGCCTGTGTCGGGGTAGCTAAAAGACTACTCGTCATGGGTGGCTATTACACCCCATTCGATCCTCCAATGCAGCCTGCAAAATATTTTGCTGTGAACGAAGTATTGCAGTTTGATCCTTTCAGTAAGCGCTGGAGTAAAGTTGCAAGTATGAGGATTCCTCGGTGTAGCTTCGCCTGTGCTGTTATCGGAGGGAAAGTCTATGTGGCTGGAGGTTGCAGCTCCTCTCGAAGAAGTCCTCTCTCACATGCCGAGGTTTATGATCCAATAGAGAATCGGTATGGGCAAGTCACTGAAGTGATTTTTGGTTTGAAAAAATTTGTTGTACATTTTTATGTTTTGCTCATGGCCCCTTTGATACTAAGGTAGTTCGTCAGTCATCGGCAAGGTTGCAACGTTTGATTACCTTATTTTTTTTCTTGTATTCAGCTGGGAGGACATAGCTCCGCTTCCAAACGCAAGGGAAGATTGTGTTGGAGTTGCTCTGGCAGGCCTTTTCTACGTTATAGCAGGGGTGGTCGAGAATCATGCTGACCAACGCACTGTGGAAGTTTACGATCCCAGCAGAGCGACTTGGTACTCCCTTCCGGATGTGTGGCTGTTTTCACGGCAAATGCCGTGTCCTGTGACATCCATGCAAGGTTCTATGTATGCGCTGGATGATTGGGATGCTAATACAATAAAAGTATACGATCCGCAACTCGGGGAGTGGGTCAATATCGGTCCTGTTCCTGGCGTTGAAGTGCCAGGTCAAGACCGCAGGCCTAAAGGCTTCAATTTCGGATTGATTGGCTTGCGCGATGAGTTGTACGTGTTGGGGGGAAAGGTGCTAAGGTGGCAGCCTGCAAATGGTCACTGGAAGAAATTTGATATATTGAGGCTCAACACAGTAATTGCCTGTAATCCGTCCGCGAGGAGTGTAACTTGGAGGAAAGTGAACTGTATGGGGGAGTCGCGCGGAGCGGTTCTTGGCTGCGCAGTTCTAGAGGAAGAACCAAATTCACAAACCAGCTCTGTAAATGCGGGTTGAAGGAAATTAATTTTTCCGTTTCAGCTGTCTGTACATCCATCCACGATGGACTTGCAAGTGCTGATATCCCTTGTGAGACTAACCAAAAGTAGAGCATTGTTGAGATGACACTGTTCACTTCTTCTGCACAAAACCTGGTCAAATTTGTTGTACCCGCGGCGGGCGGGAACGTACATGAATTGTTTTTAATTTGTTGGAAGTTAGAAACGAGGAAGTTCATGTTGTCACTACTACCGGAAGGTTATAAGGTGATTGTCTGCAGGCATTTTCGAGAAACGAAATTGATTACGATTCACCATGTAAATAAATTATTGATCTTGATCGCGATTGGGCAAGTTGGAGAACTTAATTTTGATCTCTTTCAGCAACTCTAGTCTCTAATTCTCATGGGTAACGGTGTGAAGTAATATCGTTCTCTGGAGAAGGTAGACAGTTCTCATGTATTCCGGCTGCTATCGTCTGACTTTACAAGTGATTGTCTTGTTCTAGATTAGTAAAATTACTAGGCTAAGAGTATCTCAAAAAGTTTACAATTTTGGTACCCTTCGCATGAGTTGTACCCTCAGAATCCACCAACTTGAAAAATCAGGTGGAGCAAATGAGGTGCATCTCAAGAACTTGTGGTCGTTGGTCCCATCTCATGAATCTCGCGAGCCTGGGCGAACTAGTGGATGGTCTCTGTCTGGATTGTAGCAACTGGCATCAAGCTTCTGTGTCCAAGTCTGAGACGGGCGACGGAGAGCTCATGGACATGGCCACGCCTGACCAACCGAACTCATGGTCATGAGTTCTCGCCACTTGAAGTCACATCGCTGCCCACACACCTCTTAAGATTAGTAGATGAGAAAACAGTTCCCAAATTTTCGTAAGTTCTTTGGAGCATAAGAATTCTTGAAAGAGCCGCTAAGGATTTTGAAGTCCCAAAGAGAAGCAGTTCAGGAAAATTTTTTTGTAGTCATGAGCATCTCCCCGGTGACGTAAACGAATGCCTCATTCTCCGCACCGATTTGAGACCTATGAGCTTAGTCCGAAGGCCTAAGGCCTATAATGGAGCTACCACAAGGAAAGTTTACTTTGAAATATTATTGATTTCGTTTCTCGCAGAGAAGAAAGATTCCTAATCCACTATTGTAAAAGTAAAGTCAATGACTGGCCATGAGTTTCAGGAAACATATCCCCGATCCGAAACTTTACCGGTTGAAATATAATTATCATTTTTTCAGCTATGATTTTATCTTCAACTTATAAGCGGTTCTTTGCTTCGATTCTACGATAAAGGTCAGATTTGTTGCCGGGATTTGACTCGAAAGAAGAATCTTTGTAACTCGAAGATTTGACACCGATTTGTATCGGTGCTTAACGTATGTGATTGCTTCAGGTGAGAAGACCAACTTCGAAAATTATAGTTATCAATTATTATACAGTTGCTTTCGGACTGCATGCAGCCTGAACTACTTCGCAATACACAAGGATCTCATAACAAATGTAAAAAGTATTATTGACTAATTTTTTTTTAAGTATAGAAATTACAGGAATATATTGGTGAAAAATCAAGAAGGATAACCAAAAGGGTAATTATGATTAATATTTTGTAACGAGTTCTCATACACATCTTTTTGAAATGTTGAACAACTCTATGCTGAAATAAAATGAAGGTAATCAAAACTTGGGAAAAGATTAATCATATATATAGTTTTAAAATGATAAAGATGACAATGAATTGAGGTTGATTTGCTATATATCTACCAATAAACCACTACTCAATAACCTATTTTTATCTTATTCAAAAAATGTCATTTGAACTCGATTCCCAACAAAATCTTAAACGTAAATGTACTGTAACACGACGACTTACTTATTGTAATTGTTTTCTAAACTTCACGTTATGATATGAACACTTTTTCACCGGTTCCCGTGACAACTCAATCGCACAGAATCATCAAGATTTGTGCGAATTGATGTCACATAGCTTAATTGACTATGTGACATATGTTACATTTTAATAAAGCTAAGAATAAACTTAAAAATACTGGAGCAAATTCACAAAACTTATGATTGATTTCTCTAACCAAAATCATGAGAATCCGAGCAAACATATTTTACCTAAAAACATACATATATAGTTTACAAAAAATAATGAATATTGTAATATTTTAAAGGCTATGAAAATCATGTTTTTAAGCATTTATATTAATTTGGAAAAAAATTTTACTTCTTTGAGAAAGAATTCTTATTTTTCAGTTGAAAATTTGGAATCGAAATATTTATAAAAAATAAATTAAAATATCTTCATGCCGTAAATTTCTCTTTCACATTTAAAGAAATATACTAGTCTTGGTCTAAAAATAACTTGACAGTTAATTTATAGACCGATTTTCTACAAATTTGATTGTTCATTTAACTTGTGGAGTATGTATACAAGTAAAAGAATTATGCATGATGCTAAACACACAATGTGAACATCATTGCAAAAACATAGTGAAATTGCACTTCAAGTGTTGTGTTCTTTCAAGAATATGTTATAATACCAAAATTTGTTTAATCAAAATAACTTTCAGCTAGATATGATACGTCGGAATGAATCTGTGCATAGTTTCCGATGGAAATGAATTGTGATAATATCTTATTCTTTAGTGTTTTCCATGAATGCAATTCTATAGTACATCTTTTGACTATTTTGACGTTACTTAAAAGTATATTTTGTTACCCATTGTAGACACAATTTCAATATGAACTTGTTTTTTCAGAAATTATTGTTGTATTCTTAGGCTTTTAGGAAGTTCAAGGGATAATTGGTGGCTACGTTGAATCGTATAAATGATTGGAAAAATTACATTCAATATTGATGAATGGTGTATGCTTTGAATTTAATTCAAATATGGGAGTCATAATTTTTCAATAAAATATAAATTAAATATCATTGACATAAATTGTCAATTTTTTATTAAAAAATTCAACATACATATAATTTTCATACAAACCGAGAAAATGTGGAAATCCTTACATAGTTATAATTTAACTGTCCGAAATTTTATCATTTTTTATTAAATATAATCTATAAAAAAAATCCAAATTTCATGAAATTCATCTCAATGTATATCATTGTTTTTATCATGAATTATATGATTATTAAGCGTATAAAATCAGACATTAAGTCACAATTTATTACTATTAGCAAACATATTGTTTTCATATGCAATTTTGAAATATTATTCATGAAATAAGAACTTATAATACTTCTCATACGATTGAGTGCATTTACTGTATCACAACACATGTTTTTTATGACAATTTATCATCACAAAAACTTTAATTATAGGACCACAATTTTTAGTAGAGACTTAAAGATATATTTGGGAAGAATTGATTATTCCAGAGAGATCATTAAATTGTCAATTATTTTGGAAAAAAAAGCACCTTTTATAATATTTTGAGTGAAATTGCATTGCAATTTCATTGTGGAATTAATCCCTAGCATGGTTAGAGACCTCAGGACTACCTCTTTATCCATTACTTGAACAGGTTAATGATCATAGTTCCAAATCGTTGAAAGATGCAAAGGGTTCGAGGGGTCAAAAATTGCTCATAAATTTCATGAAGTGCGAATTCCATGCATGTAAGGAAATATCAAAATCTTTATATTTATATTTATGAATATCAAAGTACCTATCAGAAGTTTTTTTATAACACACGCATGCACACTATGATTTAGCAAAGCATTTACAAACATTAAATAGAATATTGATACTCCATGGTCGTGAATAATGTAGCACAATGTTAGAAGTCTCCGTATATGTCTTACAATATCAATGATGGTTCTCAATTAAAGAATGAAATAGGCACAACTTTGTGTAGCGGTGGCTCTAATTGCAGATCTCACTCCTCATGATTACTAAATGAAGGCACGAATTTTTCTCTGAAGCGGAATAAAAGCTAATTAGCTCATTCTCAGAATTTTGTTCCTCCCCTCATTCTCTTAAGCCAAATCGTACAACGTTCTGCAAGAATTGTGTATATTTGTTCGAATTATGAATGACTGTTTTGTCCTTTCTTCCACCATCGGACAACGCATGAGAGAGATGTCACTCCATCTTTGTGTAGAGTGTACGACTTTATTCCGAACTGATTGGGAACTTGCCATGGTATCAGTACGAGATCGGTTCGTCTCTCTACCTGGATCGCCTTACCTCAAGATTCTGTGTCCTGCATTCAAAAGGGAAACACCACAAAAACATCAGCGGATTCAGATAATTGCAGGTAGATTGTAAAGTTGGATTAAAGAAGTCAAATTTCTCCTCGTGTTTCTGTGGTTAGGGGCTATACGTGGATAGATTTTCGTCTTTCGTGCGTGTGTCATGGTGCACCGTTTGCTTTATTTTTCTGGAAGGATATTGGAGTTGACCGAGCTCCCACGAGTTTCTTCACATAGAAAATAATATATAAAAAGCGTTTCATGGACAAAACAAGTACACATCATTTGTAATTTACAGCGTCACTGGTGAGATGTGCAATGAGGTGCACTTTAGTACAACCTTGGGGACAGGCAGATATATAGTTCAAGGTAGTGTGAAAATTGATCATTCTCAACAACAATATCCATGTAATGCTCTGCTACGATATTACTCTCGATTTCTCTTGTCATCCATTTATTATTTGTCTCTTGTTAATTGATGTCATTCATTCAATCTTATTCACTTGTTGTACGTGACTGATATCATTGACATCGTAATATGTAATTTGAATCAGAGAGTCGGATAATAAAATCCTTACTCGAATTCTTGCTTAGAAGGCCTTTTACCTCAAAACTACACACATACATACTACAGCATAGTTGCAATCGAGGAAGATTTCCAGTTGTGGCATGTCCGGGTAGGGAAAAATGGTCCAGAAAAGGTAGGTAACTTTAATCATGCGAGCGAGGAATGTATATCAGAGTGGATAGGAAGTCATATTCTTCTGAGACAGGACACATTTGAAAAAGCAGGAGACATGAGGACGAGAAGGAAATATCAAAGCTAACGCCAAAGCATTGCTAACGGGGGCGCCACATGGCCCGAGACAGGTCAACATCGCTCACCCAATGGACGTTTCCTGACTCCTGCGGGAGGAATCGTCTTCGGAGTGTCCGGCAACCAGCTGGCGCCGCGTGGCAGGGGAGTGGTGAAAGAAGTATCCACCGAGCGCGAGGCGGCACGTACCGTTCAGGCGTCGGTTTTACAGTCGTATTTACAGTTACCTCGCTCCCATTGGTTTCGAACAGAAACCCTAGGATTCCGGCGACGGTAATGAAGTGTTTCTTCCGGGTATGAGCGGGACTTGTGAAAGCGACTGGCGGATCGGACGCGGATCCAGTGAAAAAAGGCGGAGCTGGAGTGCGCAGGCGGACGGAGAGGGAAGGCGGGGAAGGGAAGGGAAGGGAAGGGAAGCGAGGGCAGCCAGTGACTGACGGGGAAGGGAGCGAAGGGCAGCGAAAGGCAAGGCAAGGCAAGGAAGGCAAGGAAGGCAAGGGTGGGGCTGGTCGCAGGTACTGCTCGCGCTGTGTGGGCGCGTCCGTCGTCGTCGCGCAGCACGAAGATCGCTATCCCTTTTTGCTTCTTTCTGACTACTTGCTTTTCATTTCTCTCCCTCCCTCCCTCTCTCTCTGTCTCTGTCTCTGCCTCTGAGCGCGCACGCAATCTTGGCTCGCATTGCGGATTGCAATTGAGCTTACCCTTTTCCCTCCCCTCCCCTTCCTCCTCCTCCTCCTCCTCTTCTTCTCCCTTCTCCCTTCCCTCCCTTTTCTTCCACCTCTCTCCTCCCCGAAACCTTTTCCAATCCATCCACTTCAGCACACCACTTTTCATCGCACACCCTGCTGCCTCTAATTTTATTCACTTTCCTGTGCTGCTTTCTTTATTGGCAGTCAGTCTCGAATCTGGTTTCTGTATCTCCTTCTCACCTCACCGGGCCACGGTTGTTTCTTCCGCTTCTCCCCACCGTTGTCGCCTGGCCTTCCTTCCTTCCTTCCTTCGCTCCTTCCTTCACCCCCGCTGCTGCCACCAGCATTCGCCTCCCTCCCTGCCTCCTTCCTGATTCCCATCTCCTCCGAGGTCTCACCATCTGCAGCCTGTGACAGTCAAAAATCAGAGTTTTCTGCTCAACCCTAACGAGTTTATTTGTACATTAGATACCGACTTCGGTCGCTCATCGATTTGTCTCTGTAGTACGAGTGACACGGAATCTACCTCCACGCGGATCCTCTATTTGTTGACCATCAAACCTCCGAAGCCTTCTTCTTTGCCACGAGCATCCCGTCCCTTGACACTGTGTATGACCTCCTGTAACTGCACCTTAAATGCAGTTAGGTAAGTCTTTTCTGCCCTTTGAACCCCGTCAATACGATGCAGAGTTTAGCGGTCTCTGCCGTGTTAGTCATGGAGGTGATCACGTCTTTCGTGTCGATGTTCGTCTCGTACTTCTCTCTCGTTCTTCCCGGTCCGTTGGGTTGTCGATAACAAATGAGCAGCACGAAAACTGAGGGTGGATACGTCGATAAGGACAAATTTGTAGATACGAGAAGATTCCGTGACCTAGAGAAATTGAAGTGAACAATTTGAAAGGCTCGCCAGTCACCCAGGATACTTCTCCTAAGACAAGATCTTGGGGTGTAGGATGTGAAAGGGTCAAAAGAACTCCGATCTTCGTTCCTGGAAATGGAATACTGGAGATCTTAGCTGTAGCTCGACAGTTTATGCTGTTTATTGATGGAGCCTGAAGAATACTCGGCATCGCTCTTAATCTTCCGTAACCTCAATGCTTATTCTCAATTCGACGAATACACCAGGTTTTTGAACAAACGGGACTCACATCGAGCCACCTTACCCTTTCTTCTATTTTTGTCGGTGATGAACGTTTTGTTCTATTACCTCAAGCATTACCATGTCGTGTTGTGGGGTGCCGTGTGTCATCTCTCTGGATCTTGAGTGAACGCAACTGAGGATGTTTTGTCGTAAATCAGTATGGGGGAACACGATTTGATGGTCGCCGGCTGCACATTGTTCCTTTAAGTCTTCCCTGCTTTTGCCCGCCCTGATGTGTATCATCATCACCGGAAGGTCGTCCCCCTTCTCGTACGTCTAACGACATGTAGAGTCGAATTCTAGTAAGCGAAGGTCGCGTTCATCTATAAATCTTGCGAGGGAATATTCTTCATGCTTGAGGCGCCTTCTATTATACCCTTCCTCCGCAATCCATCGACGTTTGCAGGGGTCGAAGTCTATCCGATCTGTGAGTGACAGCATGTTGGTGGAATACGTGTTTCCCGATACACTCCTCCTTGTGATTGTTCTGAAAAATGCAGCAGCCGATGTTGTTGTGTTGAGAATATTACAATTATCGTGTACCGTCTGCAGTTGTCGATCTTTTGTTTTTACGACTGATGTTACGATGGTATCTTTTGCAAGTATAACTTTTGTGACACGCGCTGTTGCAAAAACGGGCTTGGTCCTCATAGGGTACGCTAGTGAAGGTATCTTTGTCTTTCCGTTAGGACGGTCGTTAGTCAGTCTCAGTTGTGTTTGAGGCTTTTGTTGAAGGCTTCTTTCGAGTTCCTTTATTTCATTAGACCAGTTCTCGGAAGGCTCTCCGGGTTGCGTACGTCTGGGAGTAGCGGGTTCATCTTACAGTTTAGGTTTGATCTATGTCTCGGCTACTCATATCATCGATCCCTTTTCCCGAAGTATAGACGCCAGCTTGATCGAAGCTCAGGTTCCATATATTGCTTGAGTTGTCTTGCTGGTCGTAGTAGTCGCGTCATTCATCATGTTTTGAGGTGGACGGCGCTCTTGGATGCATGCTTTGGTTGGGCCGTTTTTACTCTGCCCTTTGCCAGCTCCTTCTGCGGTCACGAATGTGGGAAAGACCCGAAGTACATCAGAATTGGAGCTCTAAGCCTTTCGTGGGTCTTAAATGAAGGGATGTTGACGCAGTTAATGTGTTATTGTGAATTTGTTGTAGTGAATAATGATCCTTATGTGATCGAGCGGAAGCTGAGTCCGTCTTGGGTTTTGCGGCTGCTTGTATAGAGCCTGATTTATTCAGGTGCAGATATGTTTGCTGCATTTAAATTTTGAAGCCACAAACATCACTTAAACATGAATTGTGCAGCTGGTCTGTCGAATATGAAGGGCATTCGTTATCAACGTGTAGGTCTGCCTTGTTATGATCTTTCTGGTTGGTCACAGTCAGTGTCGAGGACTAAATTCGATCAAGACTTATACCGAAAGCAGGTGATCTGAGATGTAGTGAAAGAATTACTGCAAAATTATTATTGAGAAAAATTGTTACGCTGATTCTGTCTTGTGACCACGGTGTTTATCCGTTGGGGTTGTTTTAGCTTGTATATCACGTGTGGATACCTTGACTCGAACTTGATGGCTTTAGCACGCGTCATGAGATGTTGACTCAGACACAGGAACATCGATTAGCATTCAGTCTAGCATAAGAAGGGTTGTGAAAAGCCTGGGCCGAGTGCACGAAATGTTCCAGAGACTGTATAGACCCTGTCACCTTGTAATCGTCTCCTCAGACATGCGGAGCGAGCATACAGTAAATTCATGTACTTTCAGCCAGGACAAAACGACGGGGAGGAAAATGAGGGCAGTAATGAGTTTCATCTTGGATATGCAGTGGTTGAGCCACGCAAATTGTCCTGATTGAGTTGTTACTGCCTGGACCTCGTCCAGTTAGGCCAGTGTATCGTGAGAAGCAGAACTCGCACTTATCAACTCGAGGGCTGACTTTTAGGCCGTTTATTTATAGCTTGTCTTGCCTCAAGCGACTGCAGATATGGATTTCTTAATGTCTTTGCCACTTTTGACGCACTAGTTTATATGAAAGTGGCATGATAAGAGCACAAGAGGTGGTATATCTTACCTGTAATGTGGTGTTTTTGTGACAGATCTTGGCTTAACAGTAATCACTGAAATAGGCACACTCTTTCTGCTCCTCGAGAATTTGAGCTTCAGTCATGTTGACTGGGGAGAGAAGGTATGATAACTTCTTTGTTCTGAGACGACTTGGTTTGCCCTGAGAAATAGTCTCCCCTGCTGACGACTTTGAACTCTGCAATTGAACTACAAATTTCCAGTGCATAGAATATCCGTTTTGTTAATTACATTATAGGAGACATCTCTGAAGCTCCCTGTTTCTGTGCTGAAATATGTGTTATAGACTCGTTGGCAAGCAGGATAGTCAGACGCGTGGTGCATTGTTTTGCCAATTGACAATCACTTCAATCGCAAGACGTTGAGCCATGGGAAGGTCGTGTAGAGGTTATGAGTTCTTTGTAATATTAGTAAGGCTCTCAGTGAGGTAGCTCAACCCTCGCATCGTGTTTCTGTGTGACAACTAAAAACGGTTCTATCTGCATGTGACTTGCAGAGGTGTGTCTACTCGCCGGGGCATGACTGTTTTGGGGAAAATACCTGCCGTTCCGAAGCCCATTAACTTACCCAGTCAAAGGTATGGGCTTGACTACCTGATGAGTATCGTCGTGTGCCGTGAATTAGTATGGATGTGTTTCACGTGTACATTACGGATTGCTTCCATATGCAGAGCATTTTACTAGAAGCACCAGTAATGTGGTAATGTGCGAAGGTAATATGTGAGGATGTCAAATGAAGCATTCTTGAATAGCTGCTAATTATCAACAACAGCGTCGTTAGATAATAGGAGTATGTTTTGGAGGCTCACGTTGACCGCTGAAACTCACCATTCTTAACCTCTATTGTATGCTGCCTTGCAATATGTTTTTTTTACAGATTGGAGAATCGAGGACTAGATCCGAATGTGGAAATTGTGCCCAGGTTAGTGCAATTACCACCGTTTGTCGCACGATCAACTTCTCCTTCATATTGGGAATATAAAATTCACCCTCCGGCTCCTTGATCGAATCAATTCATTAACTTTCGACGCTTTTCTAGGTGGTTCATTGCGGCGCCTGTAGATGCTTTAAGATTGAATAGAGATGATCAACACGGTGTCCCCGGAGCATCAAGTGGTCTTGCAATAGCTTATGGAGTACTAAATCTGGGGTCAAATGTATGATGAAGTGCTATCACAGGAGAGGGGGTTTGAGTACTACACGCTCGATAAATGCGAATGCAGAGTAATGTTGCGCGCGCCGGCGGTTTGTACTGAGCTTTCGTTTTTGAATCTGTTTTGTTTATGTCAGGGGTAGCGTGAGCTGGGGTGCTGCAGGTCGTTCTCCTCCTACAAACAGTAGTCCTTGGGGGAACTCTTCTCAAGCGTCATCACCTCCCGTTGGGAATGGACCATGGGGAAGCGGACCTAAGCCTGGGCCACCTCCAGGAAGCAGCGGCGGACCTTGGGGTGCGAATGCTTCTCGCCCTTCCTCTGCTGGTAGTGGAACTCGTCCTTCATCCGCCGGAAGCATTGGGCAAACTCAGGAGGCGATTGCAGCTGCAAATGCTTGGGGCCCAGCAACAGCTCGACCTTCTTCTGCTTCAGGTGTCTTGGGGCAGGCTCAGTCTCAGCCCCCTGTGCCAAGGCCTCGCAGTGCTGAGACAAGGACTTTGAGCGCCCAAGCCCCGGTTCTTACGCGATTTGCAGATCATCCAAATGGACCACCATCACCTGCTGCACCTGCTTGGGGGGGTGCAGGAACTGCCCGAAAACTGGTAAGGGCGTAGTTTTTCTGTGTTTTCCTTTGTTTGGAGGTCATTATTGTTAATATTAGCTAGAAATGCATGTTTAAGACTTGTGGGAATGTTTACTAAGTAAACATTCTGACGTTACTTTGTTTGTTCATCGATGTCTATCCTTTTTTGGGGACTTTCACAGCCCTTCTTTGTCTCGTGAATGTACCTGTCATTGGATCTTTTAATTGCTCGATGAATGAACCCTCCAGACTGACCCTTACGTCTTCTAGTTTGTTCTTGTGCTTTCGTATTCGTGGTTGAATAATCTTGTTGGTGCCATCGCATCGCAGGGTGAGGATTCTCATTCTCTTCACCAACCTGCCCGTTTCACGTTGACACGAGTTGACTTCCCAACATTAGGGTCCGAAAAGAATCCAGACCTCCGACCCCAGCAGAACAAAACTGGTGAGTTGTCGCAGTTTTTGCATGACATATGAGCTTATCAAGGTTGTGTATACTCTTTGCCTTCTTGTCGTGTGTCGCAGATTGTCTAACTAGAATCTATTTTGCCCTAGTACTAACTGGAAGATGTTTTTGTTCAGGTGCTCCACCCGCTGAGCGCCCAGGATCCGCAGATGGGAAGGGTCCTCCTGATGAGCGGCCACCTCCTGGTCCTGGAGGTCCTTATGGTAAGCGTAGGTTTTTTCCTGAACCTTTGAAATTTTTCTCATGTCAATGTCAATGAAAGTTAACTGAGTTGCAATCCAACAAGGGTTGTACTTTCGTTCGAGAACTTACCGTGGTCAACATTGTAGCAACGTATTGTGCACGAATACAGCTGAGTTGGTCAGATGATGCCTTCAGGACGTCCTTATCGCTTATAGAAATTGTTTTTTCCGCATTTGAGTGCCACACTGACGATCTTTCACTAGCAACTCCGTCGAACGGACCTTCTTCCTGCATGAGGGTTACCACCCACTTGGAATCATGTGCTTGATTTTGCATGCTACGGCCGTGCTAAACATTTGCAGTCTCCATGTCCAAAGCCCAAGAACGTTCATCAATTGTCTCTACATACGTATACATCTTTGACACTATATTTTCCGTTGCAGACGAAATGCCACCAACGGGACCGGGTGGTTATGGAGGCCAGGATCGAATGCAGGAAGGGTGGCGAAGAGAAGCGGGTCCTTACGGTGGTCATCCTGGAATGGGAGATGGTAATTGGCACAGGGAAGGTCCACCTCAATCGATGCAACAACACGGAGGCGGTCAGCATCAACCTGATACCTGGCGTAGAGAGCCCGGTCATGGAGCTGCGCCAGGCGGAGGCCCCTCGGATGACAACTGGCGCAGGGGTGGTCCTCCTGTTGGTCCATATGGTCCCCCAGGTCCGGGTAGATTTCAGCATGATCCTTCTGGATTCATGCATCAGCAGAGATATGGGCCTGGGCCTGGGCCTGGACCCTATGGCCGTGGTGGAGGTCCTGGTCCAGGTCCTGGTGGATTCGGCCGACATGGTGAAATGTATGGAAACGCCGGTCCCTTTGCTAGGCCAGGTGGTGCTCCTCCACCACGACCTGGCCCTCCGATGGGACCAGGAATGTATCAGGGGCCCGGTCCGTATGAGAACTATTATGGTCCACCTGGGGTTCCAGGGCCGGGATATGGCAACATGGACGAAAGGGAAATGATGATGCTGGGTATGGTTGGTGGTCCGCCTGGTATGTATAATGGTTTTCCTCAAGGACCTCATGAGCCCTTTGGTCGCTTTCCTCACGGAGGTCCTGGCCCTGGGCCTCGTCATATGCAGCAGAACAACTCAGCAATGATGAGGGATCGTAACGAAGGTATGGGATATGAAGGAGATGGGCACCGCGATAATTCAAAGTACAAAGAGAGCTCCAATTTCAAAGAAGGAGGAGGCTTTAAAGATGGTGGTTTCGGCAAAGAAGGTGGATTTCCTAAAGACAGACCAGAGAGACCTGCGTCCGCTGGCGAGGTTCGAAGAGTAGGACATACTATGAGCAGTGGGTCAGGCAATGCTGGAACTGACATGCCAAGACCGTTGTCAGCACGTAGTAGTCATCACGGAGGTCATCGAGATTGGGGAGCCGCGGCTAGCAGTGATGAACCAATGGACTTTTCAAAGCCTGTTTTTGAAGAAGATGTCTCTTCGGCGTCACCAGGTCTGAGCAAGCAGTCATCGTCTGTTTCTCGTGCTGGGAATGATATCTCACCTACGACGGATGAGAAGTCTTCTGAGCAAGTGAAACGCCGGGACCCTTCTCAGGTTTCGGGAGTGTCTGAGGAGAAAGTGAAGGGACGGGTTTCGTCTGATGAAGTCAAGGACGGGCCCGTTGTGTCTCTGCCTACTGCAGGAACTGTCAGCAATAGTGATAGTGTTCAAACATGGAGGCAAGTTGATGTAGAATCGGATGGCAATGCTGCCAAGACCAGGGCTTTGGAGAACAATAGCCTTGAAACCAAGGATCAGGTTCGAAAAGCTTTTCTACCTACGGAAGAAAGTGAACAATCTGACAAACGGCCGATGAAAGACGGAAGCTCACCTGCACCACCTTCGAGAGAGCGGAGCATGGGTCGAGACCATGTTTTTTCACCTCATGGAGGAAGAGGAGGAGGGAGTAAGAGAGAGAACAGCTTTTCGCATACAAGCGGCAATGCAGGTTCAGCACCACGACCAGGTCAACATGGCTTTGTTGTTGGCGGTTCAAACAGTAGACCAAGCTCGACAAATGTTTCACGTGTCCCGAATCCTCCATTGAACCCAGAGGTCGTGGTCGTTGAGGAGGTTGTGACGACCACTGTAAGTGAGAAACATGTAAGCAGTCCGTCTTCTCCATCTGGTTCAGATAGTCAGAGAAATAGTGACAAGCTACGCATCTTAAAGCGTGTGGGTGACGGTCCTGAAAGCCCACATAAAGACATTGTAAATACGACCGAAACCGGTCACACAGAGGTACTTGCTGCAGTACCGAGTGAGCTGAAAGAGGATTCGAAACCCAAAAGTAAATCTGTCAATAGTCATGATGGCGAGAAGGAATGGCGACCAAAGGTTCCGGTAATGGATGCCTCACTGGAGGTGAATAGATCTTCTTTGTCTGCAAATCTCAAGCAGTCATCACATTCTTCCGTCATTCCACCAGTTGTGTCTTCTCCGGCCACGGCGGCGGATGGTCCAGATAAAGCTGGGCCGGATTCTGAGATTTCAGGGGATTCATATGATTATGAGGCCCAGGTACGAACGGATGTTATGTTCAGGCACTGAGCTAATCTAGTATCTGACGGAAATTAGACTGATTTTGGGAATTCGTGCGGATCTTCCTTCCTCTACACTCCTCTTTTTGTGTATTCATGCAAATCATCCCGAGACCATGTATATTAACGTTCTCACCTTCGAGAATTCTAAGCTTGACCTGAATAAGTTACAATATCGCCATGTCTGTAATTTCCAAGAAATGTAGTTACAGATGATATTTTCGGTACTTACCTTTTGTTAGAATCATGGGAAATGGCATGCTTGGGTTGTAATCTTCATTTTTTTTTGGTTTTATTTATTACCTTTTCTCAGAATTTACTTATGCTACCTAAACTGTGAATCTCTACTGAGTAAATTTTGATTCTTCCTGCAGCGTGCGAGAATGAAGGAAATTGCTGCGCAGAGAGCGAGACAGTTGAGGAAAGAAGAAGAAGAGAGAATCAAGGAACAAAAAGCGAAAGCTATGGCTAAACTTGAAGAGCTCAACAGGCGTTCTTCTGGAGCCCCTGTCTCGCAACCAGTAGGGCACCCAGTCGTTGAGGAAGGAGGTCAAGAGTCTCCCAACGTGACTGTCCCACAAGGTGAACTTGAGACTGTTTCTGCAGACGATATAGTGCAGGAAGGAGCTGCAATTGACAGTGGCGCTCCAGGAGTTGGCACTCCGCGTGGTGGTGTACGTAGCGGTAGGAATGAGCATGGGAAGAGAGAGAGAGTAATCGACCGTAAGAGCAATGGGCGTAGTCGAGATGATCACCGGGTTAAATTAGGATTTGAGGAACATCGGGATATGCCAAAAACGAGACTGAGCGTGTCCTTGAGTCAAACCAAGATGGAGCCACCCCTTCTGCCATCTCCATCACAACAGGCTAGCCCTTCTCAAGCTGTTGTGCCCCTTCCTCCTGCTTTGGTCTCGAGTGTACAACAGCTGGAAACACATTTAGCAGGACCACCGGAAGTAAGTTCTGTACAGGCTGCTCCAACCCAACAACAAGTTCCTACTAAAGGTCAAGATGCTCGATATAGAGGTAAGCAGTTTGTTTCACAGCCCAAGCAAGTTGGAAGACAGACACAGTCTGTTGGAGAGGTGGAGCCTGTCGTAATCCAGGAGAGTGTTACTGTTGCGGACAGTAACTCAAACGCTAGTGGCTGGACCGGAAGCAGTCCACTGGATTTGGATCCGAAGGAGGTTACTCTTAGCCTGGGTTCAGGTCATTCGAGTAGTGAAGCTGGAGCCGCAGCTTTTCGTAAAAAGAAGAGTAAAAGCAGCGGACGGAACAAACAAAAGGTGGAACTCACCACGGCTGTTGCTGATGTATGTGGGGAGGTGAACCAGGGGTGGAACATAGGTTCGTCTACATCAAACGAACCTGTGAACGAGATCGGAAGGACAATACCTCAGGCCACGGGTTCAAATGGAGGAGATGAGGACCCTAAGGTTGTGCCTCTAACTATAACGGTGAAGGATCCTGTCTCTCAGGACTTGAAGTCGGAGGTTGCGTCTGGTGAACAACCAAAAGATACAGGAATCGAGAGTGGTGGTAGTGACGTGGGATCTCTTAGGTCCAACGGAGACGTTCCGAACAAGAGGTCTCAGAGGAAATCTCAGCCTGCAAGACGTGTAGTGAGAGATAGGGGTACCTCTCAAGATGTCCGAGTTGCCGACAAGCCACACGTAGCTGAAGGAATGGTGTGGGCACCAGTGCGATCTCCTTCAGGTTCTCATCCAAACGGTCCGAAAGGTGGCTTTGGCGGAGAAGTAATTGTCGAGCCTCCTGTAGAGAGGAAGGAAGAACCTCCAGTTGTCCCACAGACAGCGCGGGCGAGGAGAGCAGAATTGGAGCGCTATACTCCAAAGCCAGTAGTGAAGCAGCACGCTCAACAGCAAGAGGAAATGCAACAGCTACAAGTAGTTGTGGGAACTGAAACGTCGGTCGTTACCGTGGTGGATGACGGGCCCCAGATCCCAGAAAGTCTTACAGAAATCAAGTTTGGGAGTGAAGCAAGGCAAGCTGAAGGTATGGGCAAACATGGTCGCGCGCATGCCTCGTGGCGTCAAAGAGGTGCTGCCAGCGAGCGGGGAAATGCTCCCAAGGAGACAATTCAAGCAGTGCAGGTAGAATCTGTTGATACCGGTGCAAAGCAGCCAAACTTGAGCCACCAAACTTCACAAACCCATCAGCGTAGTCGAGGAGTGCCCAACACTTCTTCTGAGCAATCTAGACCAATTAACTCCCAGCATTCGAGGCCTGCAACAGTGCAGGTCAGCCGGCAGCAGACCCCACCGACAGAGAAAGAGCAGCTAAATCCTCAGGTGAATCAGCAGGGGAGGACAGCCCATGTTAATTCCCCTCAGCCACCTCCAGTTGCTTACAATAGGGAGCATAAGGCTCCTCAGGAAAGTGTTACTCCTTACCAACCACCGAGGTCTATTCCTAACCAGGTCAACAGAGGGATTGAGAATGAAGGTCATGGCTCCCATGAGCATGTGAGATCTCAGCGTGGTAATCCTTTGCAGATGGATAGACACACTATTGCTCCTGGAAAGTTTGAGAGGGATTACCACACTCCACAGGAGCGTCCTGCACCACACCATCAACCAAGGCATAATTCCCGGCACCACGGAGCACCTAATTCTCATGATAGAGATCATCTGCAAGGGCACTCAGGGGTCGCACATCCTCCAAGATCTGCTCAAGGAATCACTGGAGAGGTTGCTCCTGTAGTTCGCGACAAGGATCAGGTAATCGCACCTGTTCACGGGGCTGGCCAAGGTAGGACTGCATCTCAAGCTGTACACGGTCATCACGTAGCGCCCATATTACCTGAGAGGGAGCGAAGTCCACAGAAAGTTGGAAATGTGCAACCACCTCGTTCTCCTCCACGGCAACGAGGTCGGCAACAAGTAGTTCCCCACGAGAGGGATCAGACTGCCCCTTCTCATCCTCATCATCAGCAGAGGTTTAGGCAACCAGGACATGAGAGGGAGCACCATAGGGAGGTTTCCAATGCCGTTCATCATCAGCAACAACAACGGGCCTCCACAGATGGACATTGGCAGCAAACTGGAGTGGTAGCTGATCGTGTTCCACCCAGTGAGTTTGGTCAGCCTTACCAACATCCCAGTAGGGCATCTCACAAGTCACAATCTGTTAATCTGTCTGCAGAACATGATCAGGGTCCCGTTGCACACACTGCTGCTAACCAGTATTCGAGATCTGAAGGGTCAAACAAGCCTCAGGGCCCTGCTTTGGGAGATTCTCACAAACATCCTCATTATCAATCAGTGCCATCTCTACCACCTGCGCAGCATCATAAACCTCTACAGCAGGGAGTTCCGCAGGGTCCTAAAGCAGAAACTGTCCATAACAATGCACATTGGAATGGGGAGAGAGGGGGTAGTCCTCCATTCCGAGGTCGAGATCATGGACATTCGAGACGAGGTCGTTTTGGGAGCCGTGGTTCAGGTGCGGGTGGAAGACATGCTGAGATTGACAGCAGGAGAGACCAGGCATCTAAGCCGAGGGCATCGACGGATGCCGCTGGAAATGCAGTGCCCAGCCAAGTTGGAGGCTAGGTTCGTTACATCTCATCTATAATCTGTGTGCTGATGAAGTTTGGTTCCTCTATATAGAACATGGCGTCAAAGGAAGAGTTAATGGCATGGCTATAGAGATTGGGATGTTTTGCAGAGAGTGAGACGACTTTGTGAGGTTACTCTTCGACAAGACCATAATTGTAGACATCAGAGAAGCTTGGGGGACAAGGACACGTCAAATAAAAGGTCTTTCTTTGGGTTCCCTTTTCCCTGTTAGTAGACGTGTGTGACAATCTGTAGGTGGAAGTGAAGGTGTAATTTCTGTTTGACAAATACGCTAATAAGAGGTGACTTAGACCTAGTCCAACATAGTGATGATGTTTTTGTCGTTTTACAGGAAATCTCTGCAGTGCACGTAAACCCAGGTTTTACGGTCTCGTTTCTGAAAGTGTCGAGACGTTTTGGGAAGGAGGCCGGTACACCAACCCTCAGGCAGGGCCCCGAGGGAGTCCGCTTTGTGGGTCGTGATGGGCAGGCTTGGCAGTACCTGTTGTCATTTCAATCAATAAGGATGGCGTCATTTTTGTGAGATTTGTGCAGACCTTTTGCCAAGAAGCCAGCCATGCCGAGATCGTTGAAAACAGCAACGAGATGAATGGTAACTGGCTGAAAATTGCCGGTCAGGTCGTGCTGTCAATGAAATTGCAGTTGCTGGGTCATTGCCATAGGCGGGTATGAATTTATGTGGTATGCCTGTTATGTCACTTGATGACAGGAGGACAGGTGATACCATTGAACTGTCAGGTATGGTCACTTCAGGGAGATGAGCTTGGATCATATAACCCAGATGGATAATCTCCCATACTCTACCTACCTCTTGTTTCATGATGTTTTGTCAGGAGGTTCCGTCAAGAGCAACCACTGGCTTGTGGATCAGTGGGCTATCAAGTTTAGGAACTTAAGTTGCTACGGATTATCTACCTGAGCTATGTGAATTGAAGTGCTTCCCTTTAGGTAATTGTAACCCTGTTTGTACAAAGGAAGCACCAAGTCTTGAATCGGCCAGGTCAATCTGGCGCTGGGATTGTGTACTTGCGTAATTGCTAAAAATTCAGTTTAATTTTGAAAATGCACTATTTGTGGGCAGAGAGTTGGTGCATGTTGCTCACGTGGAAGACTTCCATCTTTCAAGTGACTTCTTTCATGCTATTTTTCCGGAGGTGATATTAAAGACTGAATCAAGCTCAATCAAGTGGACAATCAGTGGACTTTTGTAAGATGAAAACATTGTTTACTGGATGAAGTGTAAGTCGGTATTTGTACCCTGCTCTGTTTCCAAGCCCGGACGGAGGTACTGAGAAAAATTTTGAAAAACAGAGTCTCTTCTTTCCTGCCCTTTAGATGGTTACCCTTAAAGACGATCACTATCTTAATGTAGGTATTCTGATTGTTTCTTATCATTTTATACTCCGAAAATAATAATGGACTGTTCAGTCATGGGCCTTATGCGGCAGCCATTACAGCGAGGTTTTTTCACTTGTTTCAAAACTCCCAAGTTGATCTTAGGGCAAGAGGAGTGGAAAAACGAGTTCTTTTTTTTTGGCCACATGAGTCTCTTCATTCTTATTACACGAAACCCAAGCGCTCTAGGATGTGCAATTTGCTTAATTGGCACTCTGATTTTGGTTATGCAGTCTCAGCATCTTGGTTTTAAAATTCATGCAAGGGAAAGTGTTGTGTGTTTTACCCTTCATGTCATTTCTCACTACATCACTAAGCACCGAGCATACGTAAAGAGTAGCACATCATGAGAAGTATAGCAAACTACTCCTACATGTATCCATTGAAGTGACTCAAAACAACACTGGTTGAATGAACACCATGTACTGTAGGTTGTTCGCATTTTATGTTTGTTTCCCTAATGACTTGAGCAGTAAGTGATCTCACTGAGAAGAAATATGAAATGGATGTAGTCTCGAAACTTGTTCATGGGGAAATAAAACTCGTTGGATAAAGACGAAGAAGTATACTTAAATTTAAAGCCAAATGTGTGAGTTTTGAATGTTGAATTCCATTCACTCCCAATGTGTATTGCGCAATGTCTAGCAACAAAAATAGTGCACTCTATAAGCGAAGTAAACAGAGTATAATAACCATACAAACAACCATTTGAAAGAGAGAACATCAACATGAACACTAGGCAAATTTCCAAATCATGGATGCTTTCAAAGTCAATTTTAACTTAACTTTTTAAAGAATTTTGCAGAGAATAAATCTAAAATATCAGATAGACATGTAGATCAAGATTTTGAAACCAAATCTAAATAACAAAGTATTCTTTGTCCAGATTTAGATATACATATCTTCATTTTTATTATGGTAGAAGAAGACACTCATTACCAACAAATTTCAAAATGTTAGTTTTCTTTTGTTGGATCCGTTTCTTTTGCAAGAAATCTATCTTTCTCTAATGTACAAAATGAAACTTATTATTTACATCTAGGTAGAAGACCAATGGAATTTTCTTTTCAACTTTTAAAGACTTCATATGAAGCACACTTTATTGTAAATATAGATTTTCTTAAGAATTTGTGTTTGATACATAGTCAATCTACAATAAAAAATTTATGTCATGAATATAAAATATTCATTATGGTAGGTTTTTTTAATTTGAAATTCCAAAAAATATTTCATTTTCAAATCACAATTTAAAGCTTAATTTCTATCCATTATGATTGATTTCTTATGTAATATACCAAAAGATTTTTGGATACAGTATAATTACATACTTTGCACAATGATCTATATCATAGAAAATTGTTGAGATAGAAAACTCCAAAGATTTTAGAAAACATAATTTTTTCACATAAAATCTGATTTGAAAATAACTTAAATAGTTTTCAGTTCTGTAAGAACACTAATGTTGGATATTGATGTTTACGTTATATTAAAATTTATATTAACATCCAATGTAATAATGCATGAATAGTATGTATAAATAATATGATAAATATGAATTTAAATAACATATAGCTAACATTGATAGATAAATTTATATAATAAAACTTGTATTGATAAAATGAAATACATTGTATCTATTTAGAAAAAAAAAACTTTAGGAATAATTTGTTTTTAAAAATCACCAATTTTTAATCTTGTCTACTTTGAAAGATATATACATAATAATTATTTTTGATTCATCATGATATGATAATGCATTAAAGATGTTATTTGTTTAAAAGATTTCAAATATGAATAATTTGTGAACAAAGAAAAAATCTACACAAATATCATATTAGAAATATTTATTTAACATCAAAAATGACAAATATGTTTTGAGTTTGAATTTTTATTGAATTTAGATGCATGAATTGATTATAAATATAATTTTATGTATTTGATGTGGAATTGAGTAATATATTGATTATGATTATCAAAACTAGGTTTAAGTTATATAAAATAAAATAAGCTATTTAAAATATTTAAAAAATCAAGAGATTAATTTGGAAAATTTGTGTATGAAAATAATTATTTTGTCAGTATAACATTCGGGATTCGAATAAAGATTTCATCTAAAGATGAAACACAAAATTAAAGATGAAAGATAAGTTGAATGATTGTTTTTGCACTTAAATAGATATATCCAAGAAATAAAAATAAATGAATTAAAACTATCATGAATTTTACTCTTGATTTATTGATCATATTTAAACAGTAACACAATAATTAAAATATTGAATATTTATCTTACAATAACAAAAAAATTTTAATATATCTTGTTAATCAAAACATTTATTTTTTATTTATCAAACACACGAATTGGTAACATGAGAGTTATATATATTCTACTATATTACACAATTTTCTGCATTTTAAGTATCTTTACTTCAGTATAATTTTGATTGAAGATTGAATTTTAAATTAAAAAATATTTAGTCATATGTTAGTTTTGATTAGTATCATCTCATAGGATGATTTGATTTTTACAACAAAATCTAAGTTTGATTTGGTGGCAAAGTGAAATTAAAAAATAATCAAAATTAATATCATATTGGTTAATTAATTATTAATAATATTTAGTAACAAAATATATCAATATTAAAGTAAATCTAAAAACATAACTCTAAAGATGAAATATACATAGAATGAATCTCCATCTACTTTATTATTTTACCAAAAAATACAAGTAGATAGTATTTATATTCACTATATATTCCACTCATAGTGAATGATCATATAATATACAAAGTCAAAAGGTTTACAATTTTTGGACATGTTTTTTTTCAACTAATACACTTACTATTATTATATCAAATACATATATCATTGACATGATTACTTTAAATATTCCAATATAATCTGACTTTATTTTCATATGAAGATTTTTTATTTTTAACTAACTTAAGTCGATTACAATATTTTTTACTTTTAGTACGTCAAGTACTTTTTACAAATACATTCAAATTTTTAAACTATCAAAGAATCATTGATTAGAATTCTAATTAGTTATCAAGTTGATTTATACAATCTTTACACTTTCCATTTAATTAAATATTCTATTTTCGAATATTTAATGACCTCAAATTTATATATTGAGTATATCTTTTACCTAAATTTTTTTAAGATCAACTATCAAAATTGGAAAACTAGATTGTTTTGATTGTGATACATGTTTTGCAATTGTGAGATATTAAATAAAAGATGTGTTTTTATATATGACGAAAGTCCCAATTTGCATGACACTTCAACAACATGTATCAATATCACAAAAGTATCAATGAATTCAGAATACAACTTTGATATTCTTAACCAAAAAAATTGGTTGTAGACAATCAAACATGATCCATTGTATGAGATCTTGATATTATTTTTGTAAATTCTTAGCAATTATTAACTTCTACTTGTCTTAATATAGATTTCTGTTAAATAGCTTAATAAAATGGATGATTGAAGCTATTTGCTTGAAAATACTTTTCAATTTGAAAGTCTCATCAAACTTAAAAGAATTATGAAAGAAACATCAAACATGAGGTAAAATGTGGACATTTTTGTGAATATAATTGCAAAATTGTTATAAGTAATTTTCACAACAATTAAAAGAATATCACATTCTTATTGCTCTTTGAAATGTGAATGCTTGTAGTATATACTTTATAGTTGTATTTACTCTTTTTCTTTGATGAGTTTAACTGTGATAGATTTTTATTATTTTTTTCACAAAAAACTAACAAAATACAAATATTTATTTGTGATCAAAATTTGTCTTTATTCATGATACACACAAATTGCATCTAGATACTACAGTATTGAGCAAGTTGTGAAGCTGTCAGTGTCAATTCATCAGCAAACAATACAACTGAATAATTTGTAACAAATTTTTTGAGAATTAAAATACAAGATCTATGATAAAATTTTTCCATTGTTGTTTTTAGATAATAAAATATTGTAATAAGATGGATAATTTTTGAATATTTATTTTCTCTTTTTAATAAACTACATGAATTTAAACATAAGTATCAACATACTCTTATGTTTTTTGTTAATTGTACACTTGTTGTATGATACTCAAGGTATATTTCATGATTTTTTGATAGAATCATTGTGCATAATTCTTGATTTTGCAAAATTCATATATGTTGTTTTTGAAATATTAAACCTTGAGACTTTTTTTGCTATCCAAGTTTGTTGAGTTTTCATGATATATTCATACTTCTTTGTGAGATATGTCATCTTGCTCCATCAATTAGCTTAAATCTTCAACTTTGCAACATGGTTAAGACCTGACATGCATGTGAAAACATTATCAAATTGTTTCTTGACATCCACATACACAATCTTCATGCTAAAGAGTTGATGCCACTGTAGTCATCAAATTTGTTGCTTACACAACTTTTTTTGGATTTTTATATAAGCCAAAGGTTTATAATAGGTTTATATCACAAACCCATTATCACTCAAGTAATGCTTATAGTATTTTGTTGTGATTAGTTTCTCTTACTTCACTATGTGTAAGTTTGTTTTGCTCGATCAACTTTTGAGTAAAAAAGCAAGTCAATGTCATTTATCTTTCCATTTTTGTTGGGGTATGTCACTCATTGTTGTAACTAACTCATTTGTAATCAACTTGATGCATCAATTAGTTTTTATCACTTGATGTATGTAAGAAAATATTTTTTCAGTTTTTAAACACTAACTTTTGAGATGTTTTTCATATTTATTTTTACTCTTGTCTAAAATAAATGTCAAGGCTTGAGCGAGACGTGACAATTCTAAAACTACGTGGTAAGTGAGTAACGTGTGAAAGTGAGAAAACAATGAGAAAAAGTGGCGGGTGACTGAACCGCAAGGAGCTGTGCCTTTAATAGCGTCACTTCGGCCACTCACACTCGGCCAGTTAGACACTTGCCTGGTAGTTTGGAGAAGTCGAATTTTTTCCACCTAGATATATCACATTGTCGCTCCCTCCCGTTTGGTAAACGGGGAGCCACTCACCTCGGCCACTTACCTTGTAGTTTGGAGAAGTCGTTTTTTTCCACCTAGATATATCAAATTGTCGCTCCCTCCCGTGTGGTAAAGGGGGAGCTCGGGTGCCAATAACAGTCGAGGATTCACTGAAGCTGCCGGTCGTGTGGTTTGGCCGTTAGACAGCTGTCTGGCAATCCGCGACTTGATTAGCACACGAGAACATCCACCTGGTCCGCCGAAGCTGACCTGGAAGGCACACTTGGCATACTTCAGAGTCGGGGCGCATCGCCAAAATTCATGAGCAAAGAAATGAAGAGTGTGTCTGAACGCTGTCGCATCATAGAGCTCATGGCTCTAGGACCATGTGGCACAAGATTGGTTGTGCTCGGTAGCTGAATGAGCGAGCGCTGGAAGCTGAGACGATGTGCTGGGAGATAGCACGCAAGGTAATGCAGTGCAGAAGAAGGGCGCGGCGGAAGAAGGCCTGTTTTGATTCGAGGGGAGGGAGGGAATGAGTCAAGCTAGCGTGAGGCAGGCAAGAAGTGCGCGATGGGTGGAGAAGGAGACGTGAGCTCCTTGTTTGCTGGAGTTGTCGCTGTCTTTTTGGAGCAGGGTGTGCATCATCGTCGTCTTCAGGTTTTTTTCTTTTTCTTTATTTATGAAGTCTTCCTTGCCCGTCTGTTACTTCTTGAATCTCTGTTAGTTTTCGTTCATGGCTAAATGTCAGGACTCGCTGGAGTTCAATAATTGTCGATTTTCTGCAGAGCTAGAATGTAACTTTTCTTCTTGGTTTCGATGGATGTTTCTCTGAGCAATGAAGGTGCACACTTCGGATTGTTAAAGACAGATTCCCGAGAATGTATTTGTTAGGGAGGGAGTGCATGTCTTCCGGCTTACTCAGCAGATAATGGTCTCATAAGACTGGTCAATTTGAAGACCTCTTTTGTTGTTGTTGGCCTGTTTAATATACTAGCCAACTGAAAAGCTTATCTACTCATGAAACACATGCATTAGTAAAGATGGTATTGTAAGCATGAGAGCGATTTACAACAGTGATATTTAACATGTTTTGATGGGGTTACTAAAAAACATGAGGTTTGGCTTCAGCATCTTCAAGGAACGTTTCAGCGGGCTTTATGGCCAAAGCTTGTCAGTGGTGTCAGTTTCGACGGAGTTGGTATCCATGTGTGATTTCAGGGATTAGCTCTTACGGAAGAGCATTTCAGCTGCAAATGCGTAGCAAATGTGTAACAACAACTCTGGTCTGGGTGCAGATATGGAAAGATAAACTTCAACAAAGGGGAGGAGTGCTTCGGCATCATATTAACCGCTCAGTCACTCACATTTTTGCTGAGAACGTCAAGTTTCTGTCGGATCGCATTGGATTTGATCGTTTGAGAAAATTTCGATCGGTAAGCTTGTCATGCTATCGTCTACATTTAAGAAAAAGAAGTACTAACAAGCTAGTATCGCTTGATGATCTTTCTTTGTCTCCGTTCTCTATCATATTGATGAGCATAAGCGAGACAAAATCTCTTCTATTCACCACCATCTCTTGTCCAGCCACAATAATATTAATCTTCTCCGCGGGTAACATTGATCCTTGTGACTTTCTTCATACATTCTCTGCACTCGAATCCCAGCATCATTCACATCTATCGAAAAATAAACGTATCACGTAATTGTTCAGAAGTTCATGTCAGGAACTAAGATAAATACGATGCCTAGCCTTTCAAGTTTAGCCGCACTTGATTGGTGTGGATGGCGTAAGGCTTCTATAAATCTCCGGATACATCCCATACAAATACCTGGGTGAATACGAAATTTCCCTAGACATGCTCTCTTTCATACCATGTTAACAATTAACGTAGGCGAAAACAAATTACTTGAAACCTCATTTATTTTATAAACAAAGTCTATCATTGTCCAAGTCTTGCTATTTTCACCAGTTTCTTCACTTTCTTATAATATTTGTACCTTCATGCTGATAGGGAATGAAGCAATGTTTATGCAGGTGGCTTTCAAATACGAGTGGCTCGAGGATTGTTTGAAAGAAGGAACTAGATTACCAGTTGAGAAATATTCTCTTCTGAATGCACCAACCAGTGCACCTGCTTCTTCGGATGAATCGACTCATAGTCCAGTCATCTCTGAGGATGAGTTTCATCATGGTCTGCTGTCAGTGGTGAAAGTCAAACGAAGTCACGAAACAGACAGGAGTAATGAGGACTCTGATTCGGAAGAAGATTCGCATAAGCGAAAGAAGGAGGAGGTTTGGATGGATGTCATTCATAGAAGCGGTAAGCTTGGAGTTGTGGGAAAAAGTGGCATGACCAGCCAGAGAGATGAAGGAAAAGATATGGAAATCCAAACTCAGGTGAGTCTTTATTCAATTACTGGTACAATTATATCCTTTCATCCCGTGAATTAGTTTCACTTTCAAAGTTTGTCATTGCTTGTCCGAATCGAGAGGTCAGTAGCATTGGATTGTCAGTATTCTTTTGTTCTGATAATCCACGAATCTCTAAACGAATGAAAACCGTCAGAGACAAAGTTCACTTGAATGGATCGTCCTATGTAATGTCAGAATGGTAATGATATCAAAGTTTCTTCTTTTTCACCTACTTTAACCCCTTTTTGGATTGTTTTCAAAATGTTACTGTGAATCACGGTGATTCTTTAACGTTTTACTTATCATTTGCCACTTCAGCGTTTAGAGTCTGATACAAATTACAGGGACTCACACACGATACAAGTATTTTTTAGAAGTTCTATTTAATCTTTTCAGCAATATGCATGAAGACACTAGAGATGTTGACCTTACCGAAATCTCACAAGTTTCGCTACTAAGTTGAAAGGTTGTATCAATGTGCAGTCCCCCCAGTCATATACTCCGCCCAATCTAAACAAGAACATAACAGCGATATTTGACGAGCTAAAGAATATATTTGGGGATGGTTTGTAATCATAACTTTCTCCTGTCTTCCTATTTGTAACGAGGCACAGTATACTATAGTTTATATCCGAAATATAGGTATTGTTCAATCCTAGTGTGATGCAGACTCTACATTCCAGAATCTAATTTCCGGAATTTTCCTGTCGGCTGATGATTTGTGTCCACCAATTAAACCAAATAAGGTTTTTTCAGACGAGACTTTGAATCTATCTGTTAACGATAGGTATTGTTACCAACAATTTAACTTGGCTTCTCCATCCACTCTCGTCTGTGTACAGGTAAATGTTTCGAAGCAAAACAGACTTTGGATAGTTGTCAGACCTCACTAAAGTTGTGTTCTCATTTTGGTTTTTGTTTTGGCAACAGCTTTGGGAGATGATCGGAGGTCGTTTAGTTACTATAAAGCTAACTCGGTGCTGGAGAAGCTTCCCTTCAAAATCACTAGCGTAGAAGAGGTGAAAGGTTTACCAGCTATTGGGAAGTCAATGCAAGACCAAGTACACCTCTGCACTATCCCTTGCCTGGGAATCTTTTAGTTGGCTGAAAGTTGCTTGTGAGTTGAATATTTAACCTAAACTCGCTTTGGTCCAAGAGTTTCATTACTTTATTGTCCTTAGCCTTATTGCTCACAGATGCATTACCTTCAACACTGTTCTTTCTTTCTCATGTGGAACTAACTAGATAGTTCTTGTTGCAGGAGCTTCAAAGGGAAAACCGGTGAATTTATTTGTAATGAATGACATCACAAACAAACATAACTCAGTGAGCTTCCTCTTCTCTGCAGATTGCTGAGATCTTAAAGACAGGAAAATCATCAAGATTAGAACATTTCAAAGAAGATGAAAAGGTAAGTTTCCCGTGCTGACTGTATCTTTTCTATACCATTACCATTATGTTTTTGAAGCCGACTCTTCGAAAACTTCTAATTACTGTTGAGGTTGCATTTCTTATGACAGGTACGTGTCGTCAGTCTCTTTGGTGCTGTTTGGGGTATTGGCCCTTCAACCGCCCAAAAGTTATATGAAAAGGGCCATAAGACGTTGGAAGATCTTCAAAACGAGGAATCCCTTACCTCCGCTCAGAAATATGGATTGAGGTTTCATACTGACATAAATAAGAAGATACCGAGGCATGAGGTGAGGAAAAGTATACTATATAGTTGTATCTCATGCCGTCTTTTTGGATTTTGTTTAGGAACTTTCTCTCTTTATACTTTTTGCCCTGATATTGCATTGCTCTGTCCATTGCTTTCGATGTTTTAGGTCCGTTTAAAATGAACCCTGTGATATAGTTTATATACAATAGGTCCTGGCAACTTTCATATATACTCTCCTTGGTCTGTTATGTTTTGAGCTTATCTCAACCCCCTCGCGGTCCAATGCAGAATCGTATTTTTCTGTACTCACTGACGAAGATCCGGGATCATTTGACAATAGACTGATGCCGTCGGGTGGAGACTACTAATGGTCCCTGCAATCTTTTCTTTTATCGTAGTTGAGGAACCATGCCACACTTGTTCCACTTTGTTCCACACCAATTTTGTTTTTTAGCCATGTTTTATTTTGTCTCTCATACTTACATTTCATATCATGGAGCTTAAAGCCAGCGGGGGTTGATCCCATGTTCCTTTAATTGTTTCTAACTTCCATTTACACAACATATCTGTCAATTCAGTGGATAATCAATTGGGTTTGATTTTCATGCATTCATCAACTCTCTTCTCTGCATGTGAGACCTTCCTCCAGAATGTAAGATTCCAAGACATGTTTATTGTTTCTGTCAGGTGCAGGAAATGGAACTTTTGGTCAAGAATTGTGCCGAAAGCATTACTCCTGGTGTAAGCAATCATATGAAAGATCAGAACTGTATTTTTTCCCTGTCCTGTGTAAAAGCAAACTATGTATTTAGCTAAAGATTTGGAATTCTTTATTGCTTTTTTGATTTGAAGTATTATTTAGCATATTGTGTTCCAAGAAGTAAATTGCTACCTTACTATGTGTTTATTTTCGGTTTATTTGTTGCGAGGCTGTTAGATTTCTGTTTTATGTGGAGGATCTTATCGACGAGGAAAAGCACTTGTTGGAGACATGGACTTCGTAGTGACACATCCTGATGGCAAAAGGTGGTGGTCCTCCACTTTCAAGTCGACAACAAGGATACATTGCAAGTATTATCGTTTTAATATTGACTGAACAATATTTATTTAATTAATGGCAAGTCATTATAGTCTGTAAGATGAAAAAGCCGATAATTTTAATCGCATGTGTTGGCTGAACAGTCATGCCGGATTCCTTCGCAAACTTGTTTATAAGCTGAAACAGCTGGACTTTCTGACCGAAGATTTGACTGTTGGAATGGATCATCCACTTGAGGTACAACATTTGGGATTTTGTATTTAAACCTCCATAGAATTTCTGTAACTCACGTGCATCTTGTGTTTGAGAACACTATCATGCAAGAAAAACAACTCTTAACCTCCATCAAGGACAGGCTACCAAGAGATCGTTATGAAATAGGTCTAAGCGAAGGCCTAAAGACAAAATTTGTTGATGCACAGGAAAGGGGCGTCGATACTTATTTTGGTCTCTGCAAGTATCCTGGACGTGAGCAACGACACCGCATTGATCTCAAGGTACCTGGAGCAGGAAGTCGTCAAATCAGCTGATGTCTTCCATCCAGTTCCTAGCAAATTTTTAGTCGCTTGAAAAATCCTTAGATGGAGAACTAGTTAAAATATAATTCTTTTGTGGACTATTGTCCTGTCCGCAGCGCAAGAAGAGATATTGTTTGTCTCAAATTGTGGGATGAGGCTTTTTTTTACACATTGTGTGACCTGCAGGTTTATCCCCACGAGAAGTATGCCTTTGGACTTATTGCTTGGACAGGGAATGATGTTCTTAATAGGAGGTATGATTTTTCTTTTGTCTTCAACGTCATAGTGCCGAGTGCGTACCTCTTAAGTTGGACGAAAGGATTATCTCCGTGGTTGAATTTGCTATCATCATATGGTCTGAAACACTTCCTACTGTCATTTCTTCTTCTCATATTGAAAACCAGGAACTTTATAAGCAGGTGATCCAGTGTTAGTTTTTAATTTTCGCTTTAGCCAAATCCTTGGTCTAAGCGAGTTACATCTTCACTTTCTTCGCGAAAGACTCTATTTAGAATTTAGCTTACAGACCTTTGGTGATCGCCAATCCTTGAAGTTGTTATTTGATACTCAAGTGTATGTGTGTTCAGTCCATGGCAAGTCTCAGCATAGTCAGAATATCTGCTTGTGGTTCATCGAGGATGCTGATATGAAAAGTGCATTTTCTTCTCTCTCAACAGGTTAAGGCTGCTGGCTGAGGCAAAAGGATACAGGCTAGATGATCACGGACTTTTTCCTGTGACGCGAGATGCCCAAGGCCAAAGGGTAGGAGCTTTCAGATCTCATGTTTTTGCAGTAGTTTCAAATTTGAAGTTATTTTGATATTGCTCATGGTACCTTTGCTTATACACATAATAAAATCTACATGTGAGATAAGTTTGCCTGAAGTGTCGAATCTTACGGTGCCAGGTATCGGAGAGGAGCTCGGGTGTCCTTTGTTCAACAGAAAGAGAGGTTTTTGATAAGCTTGAGTTTCCATGGCTTGAGCCAAATGAAAGAAATTTGTAAAATAGGAGATAAGTGTAATTCCCTACTTTATCTGACTGTCTAATCATTGACGACGACATGAAGCTCAGAATAAAGATACAAGAAATATGCTCTTAAACTTATAAGTTGAAAGAGAATTACACCTAGTTTGTGTAGTATCAGAGCTCACAAGCCTTGGTACCATTCGTAATCGTTGTGATTTGTATATTGCGTACTTTTGCATATATGTCTAAAGATTTGTTGAATGTCAGCAGTTCTTCAGTTCTCGAAAATATGAGTTCGGCTTATTTTGAGGATTTAGAGACTGGTTAACCTCTGAGGCTTGTCTCAACTGTAGCCGGAGGTACTCTGCAATTCGCACAACAGCTGCAATCTGTTCTGAAGACTCTGGATTTGTCTTAGATGTTTAGGGTCACGGACATCCCATAAGAATCTCCTCTCTTCATGGGTTGCAAAGCTGTAAATTTTAAGCTGATGTATAAACCAGACGACCTTACTGCTTTGGCAGTAGTGGAAGTGAAAGACTGCCAAGAAAAAGGAAGATTGGGAAAAGAAGGACTATGCACTACATGAAAGTGGGGATTGTATTTCGAATAGCGGGTTTTCTCGCGTGGAAGGTTCCCATATCAAGATGACCTTCAGTAAGTTATTCGTCTGTAGATTTGTGCAGCACCGGTAAATATTACTTTCGATACGGGTAGGAGTGGGCTTCAAGTCTGGTTGAGAGCTCTTTAGGTTGTGGAAAGAGTGTGGCCGTCATTTCTCTATGGTGCCGCTTGTAAATAGATGCACGACAGGGGTTTCACCAGATCTGTGCAACGCCGCCTAAAGTATCCGGGTCGCCATCCATCTTTAATTCATGGTCGTCAACAGGAATGACTTCTTCCATCCTGATTCGAACCTCAGCGTTGTACGTCGGCTCGGGTTTCGTAGAAGAAATTGATACGGATTACACATCCATGGTATGTCATGCGTTCCGGGGCGAGGTTGCCTGATTGATTGTCTTCTTCCGTGCTCTGTCAATTCAGCACTAGCTCACAATCATCATGGAGGCGAAGACGGTGTTCGGTACGAGCAAATCAGGACCAATCTATATGGACGAAGTCTACAAGGAATGCCATCTGTGATTTACGATTTACGAGATTTACGAGCGGAAGAACGATATCTGTAGACCCTTTGTAACTTACCAAAGTATACAACTGAAGCGAGGAGAATTCTTCTCTTTGTAACTGGTTAGACCGTCACTCAAGAGGCTATCAGATTACTCGTGTATGATGGTCCACCACACAAGATGAATATACTTGGTTCCTCTTTTTCAGTTTAAGGATTTGATAGCTGAGTTAACGGGAACAACCATAAAGTGAAAATCTCCTGTATGGTGAATTTGACAGTCGGATGATTAAAACATATATCTGATACAAGTTAAACGGTACAAGTTGAAAATTTGAGTAATCGATATGAGATATAAGAAACTAATAAGTATTTGAGTCAAGTTTAGTTGAGTTATTTATCATCTAATCACAAAATCAGTTAATTCATTGTAAAGAAAAGATATAATAATAATCTTACGTAAAATAATTTATGATCTCTCTAAACGTTTTTCAAATTTTGTGCATTTTTTTCCTAAACTTGATGTGTCATTGATATCTACACTTTTGAACATAAGTGAAAAAATCTTTTGATTTATTTCAACTCAGATTCTTTCACAAGCCAGATAAATATGAAAAATATGTATGTGAGTAACATATGCAAACTCTTGATACATGTGAAAAGAAAGATTTTTTCTACTTCATTTATACAAGTGTAAAGTCCTACATACCTTATCTTACATCAATAAAGCATTTGTGAGAGATTGTTTTATCAAATTTGTATCTGTGTAAGAAATTCTGCTCATTTTCATGGAAAAGAAGTTTATTTTGAAAGTGCAAAAAAATTTCAGATCATACATGAGATATAGTAAAATCATTTATTAATTTTTTTTCGAGTATGTATCTTCAAACACAATCTATTGATCAACCGGTTGTCAAATTATTCATACAGGAGATTTAATAACATCATCCCACGCGAGAATATGGAATGCAAGTGATCAGCTTAAAGAAACGTGAGAAGCATGGGATTCCAGCTTCTACGGGCGGAACATTGTGAGTACATACCACAACTCTCAAAAAAGAAGAAGATGGGAAGATCGAGTTCTTCAGTGGATGAAACCAAATAGAAAAATGGGGCTAGATTTCGATAATATTATCAAAAATTCAAAAATAACGTAAGGAAAAAATCCTCCGACCAAATTTCTATAATAGGGAGCGAACTTGCCATAACTTTCTTAACATTGTCCGGACAGGGGAAAGGATACAGGAGACGCATGCCTCTTCGTGCCACAGCGTGGTCACAGTCAGCTTCCCTCTCGCTGCAACAGCTTCGCTCTAAGAGGCAGGTGGGCGTTCTGTGTGGCGGATTCGTGCCAAGTGTCAATGCCAAATGCGAGTAGCCGTCAGCATCGAAAGGCGAGGCAATAAACGAGCACGCGGGACCATTAACGAACTCAACTAAACCTACTCCAACCTTGAGACGTGACCAATTCCTCGCTGACTCGGATGGTTAGACAGCGGCTTTCACTATAGTTAGAGTGAAGGTGGTGACAGCGGACGCTCTCACAGTAAGTGAGAGCGTTGGTGCTCTTCTCCATGACTGGGTTCAACTAATGACTCTGTACTACCGTACCACTTCTTTGCCATTGCCGAGAATAATTTAGATCATTTGGCAGGTTCGGTACGTGTTTGCGCTTACCGTGATCCCGTTCCTCTTTTTGCGCGGTGCGGACAGACGTCGAGCTCCGGTATTATCGCACTTCACAGAGTTCATCATCGTCCATACGGAGCCCGCCGCAAGCTCGAATTTATACTATCTGCGAGTAACCTCCGAGGCTTAGACAATTGGAAACTCATATTATAAAAATTATTATATTATATGGGTGACATATTCTACGACGCATGAAGAATAAGGCTTCAGTATTTCACGACTCGCCTCGAAATTGTACAACTCAGGAACGATTGGGCATCCCCGAATTGTGTTGAACCACAAGGAATTAATGGGTACGACGACGGCGTTGGGTTATTGAAGGAAGGAAGGGATGGTCTGATTGGGCTGCGGTATACTCGCATGCCTTGAGTTGCCTTCCCCAGACAGACCAAGACTAAACTTGAAAACTCGCGGAAGTAGGTTACGACATTATCTACCGATCGTTGCTTCCGGTCCGAAAGAATGACCGTCCGGTAAAGGAAAGAGACGTGGAAAGAGCTATACCGTGGTGGAAGGAGGGAGGGAAGGAGCCGAGGCATACGTTGAGGCGCCTTAACGTCCGCCGGCGCGAAGACAAATGGCGTTGGAGAGATCAGAATGCCGCGCTACGCTGGACTCGGAAGTTCGAACTGGCAGCGGCTGCGGGACTCGAGAGAGAAATTTGAGTTCATGAAGGAGGTGCGTTATGCGATGTGGACGCGTCCAAGTAAGCACTGCGATTACGTGGACGTGGTTTGGGATTGCCACGAGCCGCCATGTGGCTGGCATGCTCCTCCGACGGGCCCTCTCTCGCCAACACTCTCTCGAGCGCTCTCGACGTCCGGCGCCCGACGCCTTCTAGACCGCTCCGGGTCCGCGCGTCGCCACAAGCTCGTGCTATATAGCCCCCGTCTCTTCCGACGGCAGCTATCCTGATTTCATTCGCTTCTTGCCTTCTTTTCTCACACAACCTCAAGCATTCTTCACAGCGCGCTTCCTGAGACACTCACTGCGGTTCTGATCCTAGTCTTCGACAATGCCGGGAGGTTTGAGCCTCGGGGATGTGATTCCCAACATCACTTCGGATTCCACTCATGGAAAGATCTCTCTTCATGATTACATCGGCGACGGCTGGCTCATCGTCTTCTCGCATCCAGGTGAGAACGGCCTTGTAGATACATGAAGCCGGGAAGCCTAATAAACCTCTGCATTGTAGTGTTGGGAAGTGTGACGTGCTGGGTCGTACAGTGATTCTGAGGCATGAGGCATGAGAGTTTGTTTTCAGCAGTTGATGATATTTCCGACGGGGTTTACGTTCAGTGTTGGGATGCGCTGTGCTCCGGTCGTTGTTGTCAGTGCTTACAGTGGATCTTGTAGTCCGGTGAACGTCGTTGGCAAAGAGGAAGTGGTTTGGTAGTATGGAATTGACGTGCTGGTGGTTGGCACTTCGAGGGTTAGAGTTAAGAGTGCCCCGCGTCAGGGAACTGGCTCTGTATGACTTATTTTCCTAGGATGGAATCGAGGAGGATGAGCTAGGAACTGTATTCTCACATGTCATAAGAATCGCGCAACTTGTTAGTAGTTATAACGTAGTGGTTACTTCGTACCTCTTCCCATTGTTTTGAGTACAGTGATCAACAGAAGGGCCAGACTTTGCGCCTCTCTTAGCGGAGTATTGAACATGTCGGAAAGCAGAGGGGTCATGTGGGAATATATCGTAGGAGTGTCAACCTTGTAAACACGTCATCCACTGGGAAATCGTATCATAGCGTTATTAGTGAACCTCAGCGAAGTCGGATTTTTAAGTACTGATGTAAATATTATGGTAGCTGTGACGAAGTGGTGTTATATAAGTGTAATCTTCTTCAAAGTTCTGCTGGCAGGAATACGATTACGTCAACGGTTAAGTAGGAAGATATAAATTAAAAAAATTAGTTCTCGTGTCTTAACGTAACACAATATTCTCTGTACTGGATCTAAGTGCATGTCCTTTAAACATCAGTCTTCCAGACGATCTAAGTGCATGCATGTTCGTATGAGACTGCTGTTTGCATGCAGGTCTGAACCTTATTTTGGTTCAAATAGTTTCAAAGTCACTCCATAACTAAAGTTTACGCTAACATATATGACTTCGGGTTATGTTACTTGCAGGAGACTTCACCCCTGTATGTACAACTGAGCTGGGAAAGGTGGCCCAAATGCAGCCAGAATTTGAGAAGCGAGGAGTGAAGTTGTTGGGTCTGTCCACAGATTCCGTCGAGGATCACCAGGGCTGGATATCGGACATAGAGTCTTACTCGGTTGGTACCGCTTTCATTGAACTTCGACGTTGAATAGTTAACGCTTATTTAACTCGCTGTGTCATAATATTGTTCCGTGTAGTGATCTGAAAGGTTATTTTGTTTGTGCAGCCATCCGCTGTCAAGTATCCCATCCTTGCAGATGAGGATCGGAAGTTGACCGTGGAGCTCAACATGCTGGACCCAGACGAGAAGGGCCCTGATGGCAAGCCTCTGGCATCCCGAGCCCTGCACATTATCGGCCCCGACAAAAGAGTAAGTCTTGTGTTTTAAGTTTTGTGTCTTATGAATCGCTTTGAGCTAATCGGCAATTGAGTGATATGTGCAACTGTTTCACACTTGAAACTTACGCCGTCTGCGTGGGATCTAACAGCTGAAGTTGAGCTTTCTCTATCCTGGAACGACCGGTCGCAACTTCGACGAAGTTTTACGATGTGTGGACTCTCTGCAGCTTGCCGCGAAGCACAGAATCGCAACCCCCGTGAACTGGCAGAAAGGAGATGATGTTGTCATTTCTCCATCAGTCTCTGATGAGGATGCAAAGAAACAGTTTCCTCAGGGATGGAACACAGTCAACCTGCCGTCTGGCAAGCCATACTTGAGGATGACTAAGATCGAGTGATTTTCAACTGCGATGGTACACGTGTGCATAGATCGGGCCTTTTGATGGAAGACTGTCACGAAAAGTAGACACCTAGGATGACTGTAGTACACATGTTTTGCTGGAAAATAATATTAGCGTCTTGTACGTCTATGGTCATTAGGTTCTCAAGTGGTGATAAGAATAGTCCTAAGCGGCATCTTCCACTCTTTATACGAGTGTGATAGAACTTAGACGTTATGACTACTTTACTGTGTAAGAGATTGTAAACACATTTTCTTTATAATATAACCATTTTTGGAAGATTTTATATTCAATGCAAAAGTTGTCAATATTATTGTTGGTGTTGATTATGCAATGTAACAATACATGCAAAACTGAAAATGGTTGGAAATTTACGGCATGTAAACAAATGCTGATTCAAAAGAAGATGAAAGTGAAATAAGCCGATCATATAAACTGAAATTCTTGAAAAAATCTGAAAATAAAAATCATCAATATATCTTAAAAAAAATTTTAAAATGAAAAATACGTAGACAAAGAAAATATTCTGTTCAATTTATTTACCACTGTGTATAGTAGTAATGCAACGTATATCGTAAGATAATTATACGATCTAACCCTTCCCAACATTACAATTTACCCCACAAATAATTGGTTTTCCTAACACGTAAACAAAGCAATTTCAAAAACTTGCAAGTAAAAGGCTTGCTTGAAAACTTCAAGAGTATTCGCTGAAAATAATTAGTTTTACTGACACATTTTCAAGCACTCGGAATAAAATATCGGTGAAGGTGGACTAAAGTGCCGTCGGAGGGTCCATCGGTAAATGAAACATATTGGGTCTTATCAAGACTTCTGGGTTCTGTTGGGGTACCATCAAATACATTTCTATAATATGGTCAAAACTGTTTTTATTTCTATTGAAAATATTTATGAAAATTACAAGCTGCTTAGAAATGTTTGATGAATGGTGGGCTTATACATTATGATGCCATCAAATTAAAAGTGATAGAGAATAAACATTATATATGTATATATCATTGACATAAAATGTAGACATCCTTGATTTCTTCGCTATTCTGAAGATGTTGAATGTTGCTTTTACTGGAATTTAACTAGATCAAGCTATATGTTGATAAGTGTAGGTAGTTTCGGGGTACTTCATTCCTTGCTGAAAATGCAACCACAATCACTATACAGCACATGTCATTAAGGGGTAAACATAAAACTTCCGTTGAAAGTAACGATAGCTTGAAAGCTTAATGTGTTTAACAACAACTTTCTAGAATACTTATCCAAGATTAAAAAACAATGGAATCAATCTGGTTGCAACACCTGAGAATAACCTAACTTGTATTTGCTGAACACTTTGAAAGTGCTAATTAGCTACGACTTATATAATTTACCCAAAACTAGCTTTTCGATCCATTTAATACCTTTCAAATTTCATTTAAACCTAAAAATGTACACATATTACCCAGTGGCAGCCACGGCCACATGTTACTAATCGAAATATACCTGCATTCATGGAAAGTAATGACATTGGAATAAGTGCGAGTTGCATTGAATGTCTTTAGCATTCATAAGTAGTGCATTTAGCAGTTTCCTGGAATTAAACCCAAACTTGCTGTTAAACACGTTGCATCTAGAGAGAGTTGGCTTTAATGTCATTTTGGGATGAAATAAGGACGACTTTGCTACAAACTTATTTATGACACTGTAGTGTTTCTAACTTGGTGAACTCAAATCCAAGCCTTGTATTGTATGGGTATCAAATGCTACCAGAGGAAATTCAGAAAAACTCTGAGGAGGTCTTGGGTCGGGCTGAGACGAGAAACGAATCAATTGTGGAAAAACTGATCTTCTCGACTCTGAAAAGCTGAAGTACGAAAACTTATCCGTAAATATGTGCTGAAGCGTTTATTTTGGAAAAGAGTTATGGCGGCTTGAGTCGCAACGAGTTGTGCAATGTCATGTTTTTACGTAGCTTTAAGGCCGAAGGGATAGATTCATGTTCGTCCAGATTGGATAAGAAAACTGTCCTTCCCAATTTGCTTTCTGGCGACTTTGTGTCTGTTGTGGACATATTAATCTGATGGATCAGCACCACTTTCCAAGCACAATGGAGGGAAGGAATGAAGGACGTATCGCATCGTATTGTACGTTTTTTGTACGTTTGCATGAGAACGTCTGCCTTGTGGTCGTGCTTCGGTTTCCATGCCCTCCAGGAAAAGTGTGTGCAGTCTATCATTCCAACAAATGTAAGTCTTTTCCCGTCGTCTTATTATTTCCGTCGGAGTTGGCTCTCGAGAATAACGACGAGGATTGATCCACAACAAATCGACGACGATGAATGAGATCTGATGAAAGAGAAAGATCTTACATCGTATATCAGTGACATAGTTCTGACTAGATCATTTGGTATGGAGATATTCTATACTTGTTGCATCGGGTGCGTACTTTTCGTCAGCCCAATAAACAGCCTTTTCATGTCTTTATAGTTAGTGGTCTGGTGAGTCCGCCCTCCCTCTCGCCATCCCTGTTCATGTCGTCGACCAAAGTTGATATTGTGCTCGTGGGACGATATAATGATATGATGCTTGCATCCAAAGCACAGGCGGCCTATGGAGAGACGAACCTTCGAATTTTGCATGCTCATGTACCTATAAGCGGTATCTGTGTACCTATCTCCCCGCCTTCAATAACGAACTGCCTTGTCCGACACTGGAAAAAATTTGCAGAAAGCAGTCAACGGAGCTCCTCTGCAAATACAATGACATGTACTATTCTACAACCCCCTCAAATCTTCAATGATTACCGTTTGGAACATAGAAAAACCTTCTGTCATCATTTGTTGGTCTTAGTGCAACCCCACCATAGCACGACGTATAATGGTAGCATCTCATCTGAACTCATGGTGTGATACACTGAATCTTAGAATTTTACGTCCCTCTTGCTAACGCCTGTTATAGCGATGAACTGAGCCGTATGGTAACAAACCCTTTGACTTACAAGGGCATACACACAAGAGAGAGAGATAGATCAGCAGTTTGTAGTTGTAGTGTAATGTAATGCAGGCCTGTAATGTAGATGTGGAAAATACTCGACTTCTTCTTCTGGAGATAAGATATGATATGGTTATGGTGCTAGTACTAGCACTGTTGTGTGTGAAGGGTTGTAGGGACGGGACCCTAGGATCTGGCCTCTTCTGGGCACCTACCCACTAACCTACCGCCCGTTTCACATGTTTGCATGTAATTGAACTGACGTCAGTTGGTACTTGTCGTGTGGGGGAATGACACACAGGTTAGAGGTTTCTATGGGTCTTGTCTTTCACTTGTAGGTGATTCTGGAGCAGATAGATCTGCTCGAATACTCGGCCCCTGATTGGTCCAGAGTTCTGTGGAATGGTCGTTCCTGGGTTTTTGCAAGAATAAGAAGATGCTGTTAAAATATGGTGTCTTACGGGTTGTGCCGTAAGACACCATATTTTAGCGCAATTATAGCGCTTGAATATGGCCAGACAAGCATGACTTGTCACTTGACCTTCGTGACACCACTACGGAAGATGAGAAATTTGACGTTTGTAGCGTGTCATCTGTTCAACAATGCCATCCTCCTCAGCCAAACCTGTCACTACATTTCGAGAATCCTCATCAAGTAATAAAATTGTTCAAAGGCCGAGTTCTGCCCGTCAGCTGGTTTGCGTTGCACATAGAATGCAGGAGCCTCGATTGAGAGGTGCGGAGTCTAATATGGAGTGGACAAGCGACATCCGACAGTTGACAAAAAACTTAGCCTAAATGAATCGAACTTCTGTGGAAGGTCTAGGCCTTCGGTTGTGTCACCCGTATTCAGTACAAGACAGCAGACAATACTACCACTAATTCGAGCGACTGCGAAGGACTGATTAGTCAATTACATTACGCATAATCATTGTTACACCAATGCTGTCCACAACTATCCTGTCCATTACAGATTTCACCTCTCAAACTGATCTCTGGTTACAGACAAAATCTCTTGTCCCTTTGTTGTCAACTAAGGATCTCTTGTCGATATGAGTAGGTGATCCGAAATTTGCAGTTCGACAGTGTCCTAGGTTTAACAAACAACATGACTACAGACCACAATTTTAGCCAAGTAGTGCTCTCGAGGGTTGAGGCGTATTTTCATCTACAAATTGTAAAGAGGAGCCCAATGTCTGCAGGTGAGACCCTGGCCACTTCAAAAAGTACAGCTGTAATATAAACCGTGTACCGTCTGAAAGTACAAATTTTGGCGTAGTAACAAACGATGAAGTAAAAGTGCTTTGTGTGAACGATACCGAGTAGCCTACCAGAGATAAACGATAAGCCCTCAAATTCAGAATACTACTTCTGAAGAGTTTTCTAAAAACCTCAGTGACCATAAGAAACAAGTTGAAGTAACAATTACCTCGCAAACCAGGAAAGGCAACTTCCATAACGAAAGAACTTGAGGGCCAAAGAGCATACGAGTTTTTGAGACTAATTGGGTTCTTGTGTTCGAATACGGACTTAAGCAGGTATATAATCTGAAAACCCCCTCATGCATCACACAAACGCCTCTTTTCTCCTAAGATTTCTCCCTCCACGGATCTAAAATTGAGTTTGTCCTGAAAATTTACGCATTGGGTATCTATGAACGTATGATAAGTGTGTTCACAGTAGGATACAACAAATAACAAGTCAGCAATTTTTCCTTTCCTTTACTCTAAATCTTGTCTCTGCACAAGATCAAGTTCCAAAGCTGTAATATCACCAGAACTATAGAAGATTCCTTCCACCTCATGCAAGTCCTTGCAATCAGACGGGCGGCAACGCGATACCAGTACACTGCTGTTTTCAGAAAATCATTCGAAGAACATAGTCATTGCACCAAAGTTACTAGGAAAAAGTAAATTTCGACTTATCACACAAGGATTTTTAGTCTACATTCATTTGATTTGGCCATGACAGGATCTTGCCTAAACTAGTGGTCGGCCACTCTTGGGTCACGTAGAGTTTGAAGCCACCTGTGAAATGTCCAAGCAGTTTAAGGGACTCCAGTTCATCTTGACAACTTAAGACCACAAGATCTGAGAGTATGTGTACAAATACCCAAGGGGCATGCACTTCAATGTACAGTAATATGTGACGAGAAACCTACTGATTTAGGTAAATGAGTTCACCGTTGAGGTAGACCAAGTTCCGTTCTAATTCCAGCTCGAGTTCATCTCTACCTTTTCTTGTGGCCTCGATCTTCTTGACTTTCTGAATCTCGGCTTTCAATGTCTGCTTGCTTCTCTGAAGGAGCTCCTCCTGCTTGATTCTCAAGTCTGCCTCGAACTTCTGCCTTGCTAACTCCTTGGTGTGATGGCTATGTTGCAAAACTTGTTCAACACGACCCTGCTTTCCTTTTCCTCTACCCTTGTTCTGATCAACTCCTCCTCCGCCTACTTCAATACCCCTTTGGATGCCTTTCCGGGGAACCCAATTCTTATGAGATGCCACTTCTGCGGCAGCATTATGCTGCATCGCCTTGATTCTGTTCCACTCGGACATGCCCTCCAGCTTTTGTGCATCTACAGTCACAGCAGGGCTTTGTGGTTGCGAAATACTACTGCTCCTCAACGATTCGTGCCTTCCTCCTCCTCTGGACTCCATCGGCTTTCGTTTCCACGGCTCCCTGGGACTCTGACTCTGATGGCCTGGTGGTGGTGCTCCTGCTGCTTGCTCACGACCCTGGCCCTGCCCTTGCTGCTTGTTCTTTCCTCTAGGCTCCCTATGAGGAGGGGTTCGAGGAGGGGTCCTAACTGGTGGCCCTCGGTCGTCCTCCCCACACAGTCCCCACTCCAGCGTCGGCCTCGCTGATGCGGCAGCGAGTCCAGCTTCAATCTGGTGCATTTGCTCTTCGTCAAAATCCAGTATATCTACCAGGGGCTCATTTCGGCCCACTGTCGTTGCGTGTGATCCCGACTGATGATCAACTTCAGAAAAATCTGCCGTCGAATTCGTCTGGGGAACTTCCTGCGCATTGCCACTTACATGGTCGTCCTCCTTCTCTGGCGTTTTCTCTGACTCTTTGACCGCAGACGATGTTGAAGTGCCAGTCCCCATCGTCGTCGTCGTATCAGGTGGAAGCGATGTTGATAGCTGGGGCTCTTCCACGCAAATTGGCAACCCTTCGGATTGGGCCTCGTCGATAACATTTGACTTTTGCTTCCCGCGGTTCTTCTTCCACAGCCGTCCTTTCTTCGCCCTCTTCTTTCCAGTCGAGGCGACCGGTGCTTCTGAATCTTCAACTGCAAAGGTTGGTTCCACCAGCGGGATAGCCGACAATGACAAAGCTGTTGTTAGCCCCGTGAAGGACGTACAATGATTTTCTACCAGATTGATTGACAAAGAGTGACAACGAAAGTTCCAGGGTCAAGAAATTTACCCGAAATTGGAGATCCGCGATGCCCGTCGTCCACGGCCGAGACGTCACCTTTGGAGTGTTCCGCAGCTACAGCGTCGCAATGCGCTGCTGTAGTTACCGCGGAAGCAGCTGAAATTTCTCCCCCGACTTCAGAATGCCTCTTAGGCTGCTGCTGTTGCTCCTGGTTCTCCTCGTCCAAGACTGGTCTCGACTCGAGCTGCGGCAGCTCCTTCGTTACTTCCTGGAACAACATTCCAAATTTTTGTCACGTGCGGCACAATGCTTACGTTCCAGACGAAAATTCGACGAGACTACAATTGGTCTTGGGGACAAAGCACTACAGTGTCACTGATCTCTTCGGCCTGGCGCTTCCGTGACAACCCTAAACAAACACAACCTCCCTCTCACTCCCTTTCTCACTCTCACTCTCTCAGAATGAGCTCAAATTGTGAACTGTTCGACTGACCTTCATCTCCGATTCCATGTTCCCTTGTTCAATCATGTCCGCTTCGTCCTCTAACTTGGCCACCTTCCGTCGTTCTTTTATTCCGTTTTCTAATCACCCGTCCGCAATTGACGGTCTCTGCATCGTCAGGTCTGTCTATCTTCCAGTCTACCAGTCGTCTGGCGTCCACTCTACCCGGCGACTTGTTGCTGCTCCCCTCTTCCCAAAACCGATGCTTTCCTTCGCCTCCTTCCTTCCTTGAAATTTCTGCCTTCGTTCCTCCCGGTTTCGCTTCAAATCAGAGCTGTTTCGCAAGACCGCCACTTGTCATCCTTCCGTCCTTCCTCGACACCTCTCTCTCCCTCTCTCTATCTTTAAATGCTCGACCAAGATGCCAAATTACTCGTGAGCATTTCGAACGATAACACAAGCGCTCTCCATCACCATCACCGCCTCCACCTCCACCTCCACCTCCGTCCGCCAATCCTGCCGTCGCTGCTTCCACTCCCACCGCTTGTTCAACCAGGCACATAGACCGGGGCATGGATTTTCCTCCCCTCTCCTCGCCTGCCCCTGATTATTATTCTCCCCCTCCGCCTCCCTCTCTCACTTCGTCTCGATCACACTGCGGCCCCAGCACCAGCAACACCACCACCACCACCGATACCAACTCAAATCCCAAATCCGGTAGGTCGTCGCAACGCCCGCTCAACCCACCACCGACCACGACAACAATTTGAACTCCTGTCTCGATCCCTCGTCCTCAACACACTCCACATTCACTCCCTGCCTCACTCTCTCGTTCTCGTCCTCGTCCTCGTCCTCCTCGGCACTGGCAGTCCAATTGCCTGATCTCGCCTCCCTCTGCCGAGCTCACACGTCAAATCACTCTGCCGCTCGCTCGCTGAGTGGACCGCCAACGCGAACGCCAACTCCTCGCCTCCTGTCCTGTCTCTGCGTGTCCGCCCGCCCGCCCCCGTCCACCTTTCCGGTCCAATGTCCAACAAAAGCAAATGGATAGATAGATATTAGATACCCTCCCCTGCCTCCCTCGCTCCCTCCCTCGCTCCCGTGCCCAAGTCAACCCAACCAACGCTATCGCACGAATGGCAATCGCTTTCTCTCTTTCTTGAGCTCTCTCTCTCTCTCTCGACGCGCTGCTGCGTTGCCTTCGCTGCCACTGCCGCTTGCCCGCGGCCCGCCAGCGGCTCTAGAACCAGCGCCTTTTCCCGGTCCCCACCTCGCGCCTTTTCTTTGGCCCGGCCCGACGACAGATCCGTCTCAGATCCCAGCGGCGCCAAAGCGGATCTACCTCAGGCAGCCAATTGGGGCACCTGATCCTACCCCGGACCGGGCCCGCGCCACCCCGAGCCTAGGCTAGGCTAGGCTAGGCTGCGAGAGCCGGAGCTGATTGGCTTCTGCTGTTGCCGCTGGGCTGGGCTGGGCCCATCCTGTCCCTGGAGCGGGATCGCGCAGTGTGGCTATACTGTACTGTACTCTTCGCGAGCTCGCGTTGCGGTACCACCGGCTCCTTTTCGTCTGCCGGTGTTCGTAGTCGAGTCCCGAATCCCGATTCGGAACTCGGGACTTGGGACTCGGTACTAGATCGCACCACGTCCTCCGACGTTGCTCCGGCTGTTCCTTCAGTCTTACGCGTCCCGTTCGCTCTATTCTTTTCGGTCGGTTTCTTTTCGCTGCGATGGTTGAATGGCCGACGATCCAAATTTGGCGCCCTCCGTTGTGCCTGCCTGGCTCACGGCCACCGGGGAGTGTGGCCGCTGCCGGTGGTGGGGCCGGACCGTCGGTCGGTGTGCATGGACGTTGACGTAAAGGTCTTCGGCGGAGTTTCTTTCCTCCTCTGTGTGAACCCTAATTAGGTCATTTACTCCACGATTTACTCTTCGTGGTTACTGTCTAGTGTTGTCCGTCGCTGGCTCGAGCGAGCTCGATCGAGCACGCAGGGCAGGCATCGTTCTCGATCCTACACCGTCTTCTTGTTTTGGCTTTGGATTCGAGAACTTGTGACTGACTGACGTCCGTGGCCTCGTTGCTGCTGCCGATGTCGTTCCATTGTTGGCAAAGGCGAAACCGAACGGGGTGCCGTAGGGCTGGTTGAGATCCAGAAGGAATGAAGTTCGTTATCCCTTTTCCGATAGTTTGCGAAACCGGTCCACATGTCAGCGCCTAGCATATTACACTATTAAATGTTTTCTCTTTTCTGGTGTTCGTCAATCATTGGCCCAACAGAGAAATGCTCAGTTTCATGCTTTAAGTCTGGCGACGAGCATGATCTTCGACTTTCACTGGTGTCTTGGATCTTTGAAAGCTGAGGACTACTTTGTGATAGAACGTGGGTGGATTATTGAGGAAAGCGAAGCAAATGAATCATATGGCATGTAAAGGTTGAAGGCGACTTGAAGCTGCGTTTACGCGAGATATGGAGAGAATCAGGGAGTTTGACATTCTTGGGTCGCTGAATCATGGTGCGGACGAGAGGAGGGAAAGTATCAACTGCTACTATGCTTGCGCTGTTTAGGCGCTGTTGTCTTATGGTTGTACTTCTGTCTCTTTCCAACTGAAATTCCTCACTTTGACATCCTTTAGGACTAAGGACACTTTCTATTATTACAACGTAATTATGACATGGGAACTATATTTACCATGTGTGCAGTTTACCCCTCCTGCAGCAAATTTACGCTCGCGATGGGATCAGACATTTATTGATCACTATATGGTTACTTCCCCTAGTACATATTATATCACGCATTCAATCCACGATGGAAATTGGAGCTAGGCCTCGGCAAGGTAACGTAAAAGTTAAACGGTTAATTTAGGGTACTCTACCTTTACCCTTACCTAGTTGTTTGCGACTTACCTATACCTTTACCTCTACATTACCCTTTAACCGGGTAATTACCCGGTCAAAATAAAAATAACACTTTACCCTCAGTTTACAGGGTAATTACACTGTCAAAATAAAAAATACAATTTACACTTAGTTTACCATTTAACCGGATAATTACCCATTAAAAATAAAAAATACATTTAACCCTTGATTTACCATTAACCCGGGTAATTACCCGTTAACCGGGTAATTACCCAATCAACATAAAAAATACACTTTACCCTTAATTTACCATTTAATTGGGTAATTACTCGGTATAAAATGCACTTTACCCCTAATTACTTTACTCTTCACCCAAGTGATTACTCGGCAAATTATACACTTTATCATTTAATTGGGTAATTTTCCAAAAAAAAACATTACTTTCATTTCATCCCATGATCTGGTAATTACCCAATATAAATTAAAAATCCACAATACATTCACTCTTTCCGTTAACCGCATAGTTACTCATTGAGAATAAAATGAATATTTTACTTTTATTTACAAGTTAACTTGATAATTACACAAATAAAAAGTAAAATATTTATTCCGTACACTTTCAATTCAAGTGGGATTCAAATAACATTTCTTCAAATTGGCTATTGAGCGTCTGCACTACACCGTCATCAAAAACTTCCTCGTACCATAGTTACTCATTGAGAATAAAATGAATATTTTACTTTTATTTACAAGTTAACTTGATAACTACACAAATAAAAAGTAAAATATTTATTCCGTACACTTTCAATTCAAGTGGGATTCAAATAACATTTCTTCAAATTGGCTATTGAGCGTCTGCACTACACCGTCATCAAAAACTTCCTCGTACCAACAGTCTTGTTCGATCTCCAATTGATTGATGACATCTTCAATCTCATCGGTGGGGTTTTCTTTATCAGTGGATTCAATTGCCGCTGCTATTGCTCGGTTTGCCGGCACTTTGAGTATCTTTGCATCCATCCATGAACGTAAGCACATGGTCATGATGAACACTTATGACGATAGGGACTGTCGAGAGCTGGTAAACTCGCGACCAGCAACATTGTTGACGCGCTTAGATGGTGTTGATGTTGCTGGCGTCCCAAGATAATCCATGGCCATCTTATAGTGTGCAGGCAAGATTTCCATGCGGGCTGACCATCAAGACAAGATGTCGATAAAACCCTTACATTGGACAACGCCAATGAATAAGAATTGATCTACCTCATCAAACATGCTACTATCGCTCTCTAGTTGGAACATGGCCTGAAAATGCAAATTGGTCAGCTCTTCAGACTCAATAGTTGAATCGCGTAATGGCAATTCGGTCGAATAGCGACGTTGAAAAGTAGATCGAATGATATCTGTCAACTTTTTTAGCTGCACAAGATCAGATGGCTTTGCTATTTGTGGATTAAGGTAGGCTGCAACTATAGCGGGTTCTAGCACCAGTAATTTTTCATATTCTTCAATCTTTTCCCACATTCTGGTAACCGTAATTCTAGGATTGATCGCTAATAGTTGTAACTCACTCGTTTGGCAATGCTTCACAAGATGAGCAATGGAAAGCGGCAACAAGTCAAGCGAAGGTCTATATTCTGCGGGAAGGTTTTGCATGACCTAGCGTGGCGCAAGCAAAAAAGTAACCACATTGTTGATCATTTGCCATTGATCATCACAAAGAGGAGGACGACCGATGTCAATTGCAAATTGCTCCATGATACTATCAATGACAGCCCGTTACTCAAAAGCATCAACACCCATCTGATGTGTGGAATTCCACCGAGTTGAAGAATCTTGATGTGTCGGTTCCTTGCTGCTAAACCCTGCAGCCGCAGCCTCCAAGCGATATTGTTGCCGCATTACCTTGTTGCGACGAATCTTAACAAGCGCATCACGCAACGCCTCCATTGAATGTTTTGTGAAACTAAGTACTTTGATAACAGCAAGTTGAATCAAATGATCAGCACAACGCACATGATTAAAACTTGCCATCTGCTCAAAGCCAACTGATGCATTGATCAGTTGAAACAAACGTCTAACTGCAGCGATAGCGTCAGAACCATTGTCGCTGACCACGTTCAAAAATCGTGTAAGTACGCAGGTGCCCATGCCTTTTAGATGTTCAAAAAGAGCAGTTCCAACACGTCGACCAACGCCAGTACCACATTCTACATCCAAGATTGTAAGTAAAATACTTTTTGGCGAGAGTGTTTCGAGGTCAATCCATTGTGCAGTCACCACATAGAAGCCCTTCAGGTTTCGATTCGACCAGCCGTTCATTGTTAGAGAAAATGCAACATCTAACTTGCTGAAAAACATTCCTAGCAGGGGCAACAAGATACGGTAAAGCTCCGTAATTCGCCTTAGAATTGTTCGTGTTGACGGAGGCTCATACCCATTTGTGAGTGTGAAGACCATTTTTTTGAATCGATCACTACCGGCAGCACATAAAGATACATCACCGCCAATGATGTAATCTACAACTGCATTTTCATACTTACGGAGCGTTTGTACCGAAAAAGCAATCTTTCCAATTGTGGATTGTATCAAGTATTTGGACAACGGTTGAGAGCATGATACTTTGTTTTCTTTTAACCCATGTGCCGATTGCAAATGGAATTACCAACTTGACGCATTGGTTTTGTGAGAATACCATCTTTTGCACAATGTACATTTGCGTTTCGACTTCTCCTCTGAGGTATCTCCAGATTGACACTCTTGAACATACATCCAAGGAAAGTTTTGCTTCTATCGTTTGCGCTCAAGGGCTCAACCAATATCAATTCTGCAGAGTTACTAGTTTCCTCTTCATTATCTCCATCAAATTCGGCAATGCTACTAACAATCTCGTTTGCAACGTTCACATCAATCATCTTGATGCAAGATTAAGTTAGCTACAAAAGTGTATGTGCGAACTGTGTTGAGCAAGTTTTCAAAATTTTCTCCCCCTTTGAAATAAAATAAAAACATCATGTTAAAGAAGTATTTAAGTAATGAAGAAAATGGATGAAGTGGAATTTGAACATAAATTTACACTACTCTAATGTAAGCTACATATTGACATCAACTAATTTAATATTTCACAATGTGATAACATATTTATTTATTTATCTTCATACTAACTTAGTACCATTTATCTATTGGCAAATTCCCAAACTGCAATTATTATGATTTTCAAAAACATCAGATATATTTTTAAGCTAGAAGCAAAAGTTTCTAAGTCTATCTACGTGCATTAATGTTCTGGATATTTTCAAACATCTTCGCTTCTCAAAATGTCAAATGTTGGAAATTTAATGAACAAGAGCATGGTGAGGCAAGAAAAAATGGTGAGTATGTTTAGATGACTAGCCTTTTAAATATTCCAATTTGCTCCAAAATTGACTCGATTGAAAGCAGCTCCAAAGAGTATTTTCTTCTCTCCTGTAAGTAATTTTCTGAATTGAAATTAACACATCATGTTAATAAAAAAGTTTCACACAAAAAAACCTTGATGGAGATAATCTTCTAACCACATTACATCAGCCTTTTTGATCAAGTGTTGGCTCAGCACACTTAAGTTAGTGAATGCATTCAGTATTTCGGCCACTCCATTTCAAAATACTTGGCATATGTTAAACATAAACATCCATGAGAAAAATCCATGTTTATCCATCCATGTTTAAAAAATTGTTTTAGATATATTTCAACTACATCATAGTTAGATTACACTTCTGATTTATTGTCTACCTGTGCTCTGGTCACTTCTCCTGTAAGCGATCACAATAAAATGTTCGTGTCTTGTATCTTAACGATGTTTCGATGCGAACCTGTAGATGGCATGATCACACGTGCGCATTTACTCATGTGGGCTTGCTTGACAATACTCTGTGTCCATTTAATTAAGAACGATTCATAAGGCAATAGCTAACAAGATAACGACTTACAGAAGATAACAAGATTGGTAAATGAAATTCGCGTTTGAAATTGCTCTGCCCAGCGATACACTGTCATATGCGATCGGTTTTTGGTTGATCGGAAGAGGTAGTTTCAGGTTTTCTGCAAGGTGACTATTGTATTGAACACAGTTTCTAAGGAAGAATTGTAGGAATGGACAAAATTTGACGTGTCCAATTCGAATCTTTTCTACCTTCATTCGCTTCCCCTTTTGGGATGTTTAGCAAGGATTGTATCTACGGGTGACGGATGATCAATATAATTTTAGATCAGTTCGACGTGTACTGGACAGCATAGTGACTCAGTAAAATCGGACACCTAAATGACAATGAGATATCAAGCCTAAGGGTAGTACCCGCAAGGCAAGCGATCCAAGCAATCCATTATTTATGGATATAGATGCGGTTAAGTCCAAGCAGGTTACTTCTGAACAAAAAGCCATTATCTCGTGTAAGTATTGTTCCTGTCTACATTGAAGAAATATTTATTTGACTGAAGAGTATGACCCAGAAGGTGTAAGTAAAAAAAACTCGTAAAATTGTTGTGATTTAAAAAAATTGGGTCATGGAAAATAAAGGGCTGAATTTAGATTCACAAGACGATGTCATGGAAATTGGAGACACCCCACGGGGATGCCGAGTCAAACTCGGCTGCTGTGGAGTTGTACTATGACACCATGTGATCGATTTTGGTTAGAAGGAGGAGGGGGCCGGACATAGAACCTATCCGGAAATTTCAAGACCAAGATGTAAGAGGTTCTTAACACAAGCTTTGAACCAAACAGTAGATGTCCTGCCCCTCCTCACGCCAACCTTTGAATCCCCGAATTGAAAAATTGTGGTTCATCAGTGATCAGAAAGTTTGGGACATGGACAATAAAGGGCTGAATTTAGATTCACATGACGATGTCATGGAAATTGGAGACACTCCACGGGGATGCCAAGTCAAACTCGACTGCTGTGGAGTTGTACTATGACACCATGTGATAGATTTTGGTTAGAAGGAGGAGGGGGCAGGACAAAGAACCTGTCCGGCAATTTCAAGACCAAGATGTGAGAGGTTCTTAGCACAAGCTTTGAACC